ACCGCCCTAACAGAACTAAGGAGTGTAACAGGGTATCTGTACTGTGATGGAAAAAAGCCTGATCGATTTTGCGCATACACATCATTCATAAAACCAAGGCAACTATGAACAAGAACATATCCAATTGTAAAAGTACACACTTGTGGTATAATATATATTTAAAGGGCCCAAATCACTGGGAAAAACCCTGGATTTTTCTAAATAAAAGAGTTTGATAAGCTATGTACATATTTTTAAAGTTTTAAAATTTACCGTTCAGCTCCCAGTTCATATAGTACATGAACTGTGAGCTGCAAAAAAGCCAGTTTTGAATTAGTTGTTATGCCACAGATTCTAACAGATTTGAACACATTTTCATATGACTGGCTGCTCAGCCTCATTTAGATATATCAGTTTCCAAGATAAAGTAATGTAAACAGGATGGGATATTCTAAGGGATAAAGAAGGGTTGGAAAATAGAAATTAAGTGAATTATGACTGCTTTTAATGTAGTTATGTTATAACTGAAGTTTGGGGGAAGGAACATGCCTGAGACCCCTCCTTCTTCCAATCTTTGCCCTATAAATTCACATTCTCTCACCTTCCCTTCCCATGACGAAGTGTTGGCAGTCCCACTGCCACTCCATCTCCTCCCTGTTCCTCAGTCCTACATGAGTCCTACCACATCTATGAGGGGGGTCCATTCCAAGTTCTCAGAGTACCACAAAAGTTTTCCCTTATATGACCACCACATGTTGAGACACGGACTGAACTCCAGACCAGCTTCAGGGGGACATATGATGCTCACCCAATGAGAGAACACATTTTTATAATATTTACAGCTTAATCAATTCTTATTTTTCTTTTAAAATTGAGTTGTGTTCAGTTGAACTCATTGTAATCTACAGGGCCATCCTTGACATGAATACACAAAGATACGCTATAAGTGAACTTCTGGAAAAATAAAACTGTAAAATATGGGCCTTTTAACAAACGTCATTCTCAGTATGTTGTGACAATCAGTGAGTCAACAAGAATAATTTCCTAGGGTGAAACTGGCCTCAGAATATAAAAACATGATTACATAACCAATGTTTGTGAGCTAACTCATGCAAAACTGTAGAAAAGGGGGAAGAAGTTGGTGAACATGAACTAAAGTTCGCTGAAGATTCATGAGCAGAGAGGAGATTTACAACACTTCAGAGAGAACAACATTAGTGAGGTAATGTATTACGATGGAGGAGTTTCAGCACAGCCTTTTTCTCAAACTTTAGGACTGCATAACCCAAGCCAAGTCCAGATCTTAAAGGTGGCTGTTAAAGCTTTTCTGAGGTCTTGGATTTGTATCTGCATATTTATGTGGTTTGCCTGGTAATGCTTGAAAAGTTTAATGGTATGCTGAGAATTGACATGCATGGTGTTACTGGGGTAATAGCAGCACTGTTAAGAAATGGAAGTGCTCTGGGCTGACACAGTCCAGGAGGAGCAGCCGAAGAGTCAAGTTTCATAGGACAAGGGTCATCCAAAGACATGATGTTACAATATGAAGATTCTGACCGTGAAGAAGGTGAGAGGGAGAGTAGCATTCAAAGGGATTCCGAAGTTTCAGAGGATATCATCTTATGTTTGACAATATGGGACTATTTGGTGAGATCCATCTATTTGTCTGACACAATACTGAAATCTTATCAAGCATTTGCAGAGGGGTATCACATTTTAAAATCTTCAATTAAGTTGGTTTGGTAGTGTTAAAAATAACTACAAGAAAAATCTGACTCTACAGTGAAGATTATGGACAGATGTTTAGATTTGACAGATATTTCAAACTGATATTTGATGACTTATTTATTGCATTCTGGAGCAGCAGAGCCTTTAGGCCAGAGGTTCTCAAACTCGTAATCAGGGCCCCGAGACGGCCCACATCATTGCTCTCTGCTTATGTGTTAGGTGCTGGGATAGAAGTGGACTGTCTGGGGGTCTTGAGAACACTTGAAGAATTTTACAGCATTTGCAATCCTACGTAAGTAAATGTTGTATGTCTTCATAATGCTAATCCAGCTAGTCCCAATTTGTACATTATAAAAATGTTTATGTATCAGCATTGGCTCACTAAGTGTAGCTTTTTCTCGACTAAATATTTTAGCCAGTCTCAACATTCTTGTCAAGCAATCTTTACCTTAAATATAGCAGTTTACTTTTCTTTTCCAACTTCGCTGAAGAAGCCAAATGCCCCTTTAGCAGCTTCTCAGTTGCTGGCCAAACAGCATCTCAGGCCTTGCTTCTCTTGGCACAATTGTGTCTTCACCTCCTCGCCTTTTTCATTGTTTGCCAGATGAAATCTGGATTACTCGATGTTTTTTCTGTTCTCTTTTTCTCAGCTGATGAATCATGTCCAGCGTGTTCTCCAAATTTGGCACTGAAACTGAAGCCACTTTAGAAAGAAGAATAACGACATGCTAAAGTCTGGTGTTGTCTTTTTTTTTTTTTTGTAATACACAAATTTCACCCTCTTTTATACCGCTTATGTTCTCTCTATTACTTTGTTGTTATTGGTACATCTGCTTTTCAGTGTCAGTGCAATCCCTCACTTCAGCTGTGTTGAAGAATGGCTATTGTTTTGAACGCGTTACACAAAATTGTTCCAGTTTTGCTCTGATCCTTGTTGTCAACAACTGTAGCATGAGGGCCTGTATAGCTTGTAGTAGCACAGCATTTGAAATGCCAATGCCAAGTGTGCTCATTTTTGTCACCATCTTGCTTGGAATCATAAAGGAAGCTGTCAAGCCAAGCTTTGATTCTTTCTGATTTACCATTGTACACAGTTATGTAGTATTTAGCAAAGTAAACACAAATGTAAAAAGCTTTAAGAGTGAACAGAACAAATGTTCCAAGTCAAAAGTCACCTGTGGCTTTGAAATGTAAAGCTGAGAGTGTGGTGAAGGTTTGCTAATGCAGATCATGATTTACTGTACACTATTGACATGTCCCACCCAACTCCCTGTTTCAACAGGAGATACAGCAACATTCAGAATCACATTCAACAAGCAGTTTCATGGAAACTTCAGTTACTCAACGTATTACTGAAATGATTCTCTTTTTTCAATATCTCTTTGTCATACATTGAAATCAGATGTCTTACACGCTAACTCTTCCTAGCATGGTGGAATGACAATTTACACTCACTGAGCACTTTATTAGGTACACCTTGTATCTGCACTCATTCTACATTTTATCAGCTCCACTTACTATATAGATGCACTTTGTAGTTCTACAATTACAGACTGTAGTCCATCTGTTTCTCTGCATATTTTTACCCCCCTTTCACCCTGTTCTTCAGAGGTCAGGACCCCCACAGGACCACCACAAAGCAGGTAATATTTGGGTGGTGGATCATTCTCAGCACTATAGTGGCACTGAGTGGTAGTGTGTGTTGCGCTGGTGGATCAGACACAGCAATACTGCTGGAGTTTTTATACACTGTGTCCACTCACTGTCCACTCTATTAGACACACCTACCTCATTGGTCCACCTTCAAAAAAGCTCACCTGTTGCTGCACAGTTCGTGTTGGTCATCCTCTAGTCCTTTATCAGTCGTCACAGGATGTTGTTGGCTGGATATTTTTGGTTGGTGGACTATTGAGGACACTGAGGTGCAGCACTGCTATGTCTGATCCACTTATATCAGCACAACACACACTACCACACCACCACACATCAGTGTCACTGCAGAGCTGAAAATGATCCACCACACGAATACCTGCTCTGTGGTGGTCCTGACCATTGATGAACAGGGTAAAGGTGGGATAACAGAGTATGCAGAAAAATAGATGGACTGCAGTCTGTAATTATAGAACTACAAAGTGCACTATGATAAGTGGAGCTGATAAAATGGACAGTGAGTGTAGACACAAGGCACCTAATAAAACGCTCAGTGAGTAAATCTTATAACAGTTCAGTAAAAATGCTGCTGAGGGATGCTAACATTAGCCTTGTGCATTACTGGAAAGGTAAATGTAGTTTCTTTAAAATTCTTTTTTATGAATGATCTTGGATTGAAGAGTTGACCACCCATTCAAAGTTTTATTTCACGTTCAGTATTTGCATTATTTTTGAATATAAGAATAATTGTTAGTGTTTCACAGAGACAAGTACCAAGCTTTTCTAAACTGCATTTTACTACTGCTTTGATCAATGTTGGGGGTTACTGTCAGACCAAGGGGACAATTTTCTTAAATTTAAAAGTTTATTACTTTTGAACGTTCAAAATTTGGCTTTAGAATATTTTCAGTTCATAGAAGCATATACTTACTTAATAAGCAATGTTAAAAGGAAATTAAAAGGAGCCTTAATTCTGGAAGAAATCCTGCATGCAGCTTTGCAGTGAACATGCAAGACCATCTAGAGAAAATATTTGTTAGTCACAAGGTAGTCACATCCAAAGTCTTTTTGGTACCTATACCTTGACTTCAGTGCCAGTTAAGGAACGATACTTTTTCTGATTTTCTCTTTCAAAGCTGCACTACATAAGATTTTTTTGTTAAACCTGTAATATTACTGAGTCAGGAGTTTAAAAAAGGATGTAAATATGATGCATGTACACTGCTGCAAGTCTCCCTGTAAAGTCTAAAATCAACATTAATCTAAGGATGAGAAATGTTGGTCTGATGTTTAGGTCTCAAATGCAAAATCAGCATTATGAATACTCTCAATACACTTGCAATCATCAGATTCATCTGCTCGGGGAAGGAGTCTGAAGCACAAACGCTCTTCAACACGTTGCATGCAATTACACATTTCTACCAGAGAGGTCTCCAAATGGCCAAAACTAAGTGCAGCTTTCTTATTAGCTCACAGATGCTGTTAAGGCCGACTTCCTAGCTAGTGAAATTGGGTACTGAACATGGAGTATGTTGATGTTCGGTAGTACTTACGTCAGTAAGTAATCAATCTCTACAAAGTCATTCATGTAAACCAAAACAATTCCAGGTTTAGACTTTTCCAAAACATAATTAGCAATTAGCACTCACACACTTAGAACAGAAATGATGGAGCTTTTAATTTGTGTAAAAAAAAAAAAGAAAAGAAAAAAAAAAAAGAAAAAAAGAAATTTATCCACTGAAGCAGAACAACATCAACCACTTATTTTTTTTCCTTGTGGAACATGTATGATCTGAGCCAACTTTTTCAACCGTCTTAAAGTAAAATAATATTAACGGGCAGAGAGACTGTCAACTGTAACACAAAGTTAACAAACACAGCCAAGGACATACTGAAAACATAAAAAGAAGGGTCAAGAGAGGAAAGGAAACAGCGTTAACAAGTTAAGTGCAAGTGGTCCAAATTACAAAGGAGATTTTCAGTCTTTTTTCCTTTCCTCCTTCGCAGTTCCTTTCCAAGAAACCAGCTCAGGTACAGTATATTTTTCTCTACACATTTTCATGCAAGCGTAGATGAAATATTTCAATGAAATACAAATGGAAATATAGTTCTTATTTCATAAGTTATCTGTTAAAATATGAAAAAGCTCTGAGGATGTGAGAAACATTTGGATTTAACAGAAGTAACACAAGTCCTCTATCAATAGTGTTTTCTTTGAGGAGGTAACTACATTCATGTCCATAAACATATGAGTCCTTATGTTTTTAAAAAATAAAAATAAAAAAAAATAAAAAAAGGGGGGGGGAGAAAAAAAATAAATTAAATCTTGCGATAAGAAACGCCAATGACCTCACTTTAGCCTTGTGGTATATTTTTTTGTTGTTGTTGAACATCTGTGCCATGAAGAACATAAATACAGACAAATAATATCCTAAGATACACATGTACAACAAATTACTGCATATCTACTAAGGACTGCATTAGGTAGGTCGACATTGAGGCTAGCTGCCATGATACAGGAAAAGGCTCCCCATTCTACCCTTTGCCAAAGAGAGTCAAGCTTGTGTTAAAAGAAATGAAAGAAAAAAAACTAAACAACTCATAAGTTGCAACCGTGTGCAGGTTCACAGTTTAACAACTTCCCTCTCAATAACTGTTTGGCAAGTTCTTATTTGACCTCTTTAAATTCGTTGACTTATTCCATTTGCTCAGTATATTCAACAACTGGGTGGATACAAAGGACCTCTGCCTATAAATTAGATCTACTCTATATACAACATAAATTCATCCAATAGTTATGCTACGGTTAAGGGGAAACCATAGTTGATCAGCCCAGAAGGTGTAATTGCCTGCATACACAGGAATGTTTGGAGGTTACCTGGAGCCTCAAAGAACTGAAATGGATTAAGTTCAATTCTATTTCCAGCTTGTCAAGCTGCCAGCTGTTTGTCTAGAGAACGCAAAAATCCATCTCATTCACAATCTCTCCACCTTCAAGTTCTGCCCAGAGGTAGAAGAGATGGAGACATGGGACGTCCTACTAGGACAAACCCAGGTTTGATCTAAAATACATTTTGTAGCTTTAAGTACGCTATATCAATATATGTATGCATATGTCTGTGAGTACTTAAATATTTAGTTAAAAGGCCTCCTGTCACTCTCCTGCTGTTCACTTTCAGTTGTTCTTCTCACGTCAGCATCACTTCTTCTTTGCATACTGCGCATGTATCTCTGCCATCTTCAAATGTCTCACTGCAACCCTTCTGTTTCTTCTTGCTTCACTGTTTGGCACCTTGGACAGAATGACAGATGATGTAGTTGTACTGAGTGGGCGAGAGGGCTTAACTAAGAACAGTTTGTGAGGCCAAAGGTCATGATGTGGCTGCCCTAATCTGTGGCGTCCCTCTCTGCTGCGACAGGAACGGCTCCTACGTCCCCTCCATCATCAGCCTTGAGCCTCTTGGAGTCAGGCTGCTCCGACTGGTCACCGTTCTGCCGTTTGGTGGGCAAAGACGCTGAGGCAGAGGCATGAGTGGCCAGCATGTGAAGAGGACTTGCTACTGTGAACAAGGAAAATAAAATGCAATTAAAAATAAATATATAATGCAATCAAACAATCAGTAAGTAACATAACTTAATCGAAGCCTTATTCATCCGGGAAAGAAAAAAAAAACAAACACAACGCACCACACCACACCCTGCAGGCCTTTTACCTGTGTTTGCTGCTCCTTGAATTGCAGCCACAACATGGGTGCCATTCTGAGTGATGGCCTTAACAGGAAGCTGGTGCTGGCCCAATGGTGCTTGCTGCACTATAGTAACCGTCTGTATAGGCGTGGCTTGAGATGTCTGAAGAATACGATTCGCTCCACCTATAGAAGCTGCTGTGATGGCAGGTACAGTTTCTACTTTCACTACAAAAGGAAAAAAAGAAAATGGGAAAGAAAACAATCATTCTCAAACTACTACTACTTTAAATAAAGTTACCGTACAGTAGGGAAAATAGTCAAATAATAATCTTAAAATTATTACAATATGTAGACAGTACGCGCCAAGAAATCCAGCATTTTTAGCAACAGAAAATGGTTGGTCATTCAAGGTAATTAATTCCATTTTTTTCAAATCGATATTTGCATATTGACAAGAACAAGATGTAATGTTTTCAAACTGATACCAAACCTGTAGGAGATCAATTCTTGGGGGAAGCTTAATACTTAGCATGAGCAGTGATGAAACTAGCAGAAAACAGGAAATAGATCTGCGTGGCTGACATTTCACTATGCTGCTGCTCAGTTTAAAGGCATCTGTGCTGCCCAGCACAGGAGGGCAAAAGGAACAACTTTTTTTTAATTTTTTTTCTCATTTTCATTACTAATTAAATAATTTGTAAATTCCTAGTTATTTTCAAAATGTTGCTGCAGGTCTGTTTAATCTTTTTTTTTTTTGGCCAGAAATTTTCAGTGGCTGCAATTTCAGAGCATCCCTACTTAAAATATACTGAAAATGTTCAAAGAGCACTAATGTACATTGATATCATTTCACCACATATATTATACTGATTATTTGGTGGGGGGAACACACACCAAAACTGGAACTTATATAAATAAGAAATTATCACTTGTTATTTACTGTTCAGATTGCAACTATGTAAATGTCCCATCCCATTCTTACCACACACATTAACTTTCAATTTGATGTCTTTTTTTGGACATTTAGTTGTCTCACCTTTGATTTCTTGGTGCTCTCCGTTCTCCTGCAGTTCCGTCTGAGACACAGCCTGGCCTTCTGTATGAGCGAAGCCCGTCACCGTGGCAACTGAGACAGGGATTTGGTGCACCACATGGACCGTCTGCATGACAGGCTGCTGGGCGGTGGAGGTGGTCACAGGTGTGGCCACCGCGTAAGTCACAGGTTTGATGGTCTGTGGGAGCTGCCGCTGAACTGTGATGAGTACGGGTTGGCTGGTGACTGGTGAGCCTGGAAAAAAAACCAAGATGAGAGGTAGATGAGCCAATATAGAATAAAACTGCTTATAATGTCCAAGATGACCATCCTGCCAGATTTCTGAAAATGCAGTGTAAATTGTTTCCTTGACATCCTTAAAAATCTTTCTAAATGAGATGCAGATTATAAGAATATTTCAGTTCTTATTGCCTTAATATCACTGTAGATACAATTCAGTTCTGGAAACAGTTTAATCATTCATAGTCATTGACCCAACCTCACCTGGTGCGTTCTGTGCAAAGCGAGCCTCTTGGATGACTGCTAATTTAGGTTGAACAGCTGATGCTGGAGCAGAGGCAGGTGCAAGCTCTGAATCCATGGGAACAGGTGAGCCTTCTCGTGATAAGCTGTCAGGAGTCTGCACACCACTAGAGTGGGCCGACAGCACCCCTGTGTGGTTAGGTGAGGCAGGGGCACTCCTGTGAGGAAAAGATGGAAAATGAAGAAAATTTATCAAGCTGCACTAAGCAAAATCAGTATCTTTACCTGAAATCAAGTCACTGAAGTTTGGAGGACTATGGTTTTGGTAGCTAAATACCTGGAGGACAGAGGGCCGAGTGGGGTCCTGAAACAGGGCACGCCACGGGGCCTCCGTTTGCGGAAGGCCTGATCCATGAGCTTGCTTTCTGTTGAGGGATCTATTCGCCAGAAAGAACCTTTGCCTGGCTCTTCTTGTGATCTGGGCACTTTGATGAAGTATCGATTTAAGGAAAGATTGTGGCGAATGGAGTTCTGAAAGACAGGGAATTAAAGCACAAGACAGAGAATGTTATTTTTCTGAATCAATTTATTAAATGTTTCAACAGTATTATAAATTGTAACAAACATGGAAATATAATAAAAAATATATAATCTAAGTTCCATTTTATATTTAGTATTTCTTCTCAAACAATTCTTATATTTACCTGCCAGCCCTTGTCAGCTGTTCTGTAGTATGGGTAGTTTTTAGTTATGTGGGTATATATTCCATTCAAAGTAAGTTGCTTATCTGGGGCCATGGTTATCGCTTGGACAATCAGTTGTGCATATGAATATGGTGGTTTAGAGTCATCCTATTACACACAGAAAAAAAAAAAGTAATGAAACAAAGTTTAGTATTCTGCACACACACACACACACACACACACACACACACACACACACACTAATATATACACAAACACACAAACTGCATCACAATCACCACAGATAAACTATTTCAAATTCATTAAAGAAAACAGGGACGCCTTTAAAATTCTCACTTCTTCGATGTCAGAAAAATATCAGAGCTCTCTGGAGAATGAATAAGGATTGTGAAATTTACAGATGACTGAAATGTATAAGCAAGTACACACTTCACATGATTACTTTTACCAATTCAGCCATAAAAGCAAAGAGTAAAAAGCCAAAAGAATGCAAATAATAAAAAGGCCAAACTATATCCACTTGTACATCTGTGTCATGGAGCACAGATGTTCAAAAAGGTGCCTGCTCAGTCTTTTGCAAGAAGTTTGGGTAATCTGGTCAAATGACATGTTTTGTAGATTTTCTAGGTGGAAAAAAATAACATCCTCTTCACACTTCTTTACATTTTAAATGTACAATGACTGTTTATTTTCTGAATATGGCATACTTTGTGGTTTTACATTATATTTTTTCCTAATGTTAAACTATAAATGATATAAAATATATTTATATTCCTAAATAATTAGGAATGGTGCACTAAAATTTGCTGAAAAATGCCATATGCAAGTTTGTTCCCCATACACGTGTTCAAACATTTGCATATGATTGTACATAAAATGCAACGTGAAGTGGCCATTGTGTACAAACCAGAATGTAAAGCCAGCTGATCCTCCACTGCTCCATTTGATTTAGAACTAGTTCTGGCCCTCATAGCTTTGGGATCACCAATCAGAATTTGCTTGATACACAGTTCCGCAGATTCACATAATGTGTAGTTGAGATTTGAGAGGTGTGCATGTCGTGGCTTCTACAAGCCTCTGCAAATTATGCTTACGATGAACCTCTTCTTTGCATCTTGACAAAGATACATGCATGTGCATAATCACAAATGTATAATTTAGCCTTAATGTGCTGGACAGAACTCTGATCCAACAACATTATTTGCATTATATGCACTAGAGCACTAACATGCAGAGAATTAAAAATGTAAACGTCCAAAACTGCACAAAACAAGAATGTAAGATGACTACATAAGCTGCAGGTGGGAAATTACATTAGAGGTTCTTATTTTCAGATGGTTTGGCACATTCATGTCCTCACATATTTGGCACTTATACTTCTTATTGCCACCTAAATCATAAACGCGAAATCACGAGCACTCGCACCTTTGGACTGTCTCCTCCGGAGGCTTCCTTGTCGTTTTCGGATTGGGAGTTGTCCCCTATGAGCTCCGCTGTGAGCCCACGTCCCACCCTGTAACTGGACAGCCCTGCCCCACGAGGACTGGAGGGACACGAATTGGCAGCGCTAAGGAAAGAAGAAGTCACAATCTTTATGTTAAGAGAAACCTAATGCATTCCAAAACATACAAAAAGGGCTGCATATTATGGATGAAATTATGTAATAGAGAATCCTTGATGTGACATGGTTAAAGATTACCCCGCTTTATTTTTCAACAAAATGATGTTCGTTTATTGGATCATGTGAATCCTTTGACTTAAGTGAACTTAAGGTTGGTCAAGGATTTTTACAGCACATAAGAGGACTGGTTAGTACGGTAGTACATAGTAGTACTGGTTAGTAGTACGCCATGTTCAGACTGCAGGTGAAAGTGGCCCAAGTCTGTTTGGTCATTCACATTATCATTTTATTGTGGCCTCTATCTGAAATCAATTTGAACAGACCCACATGCACAAAGGATACCAAACCACCTGGCACACTCATCTAACACACAGCTGTCTTCTACCTTTCCTTGAGATTAATTGATTCCTTTCAGTTCACATCAATCTTCAGTGTGTGCAAACTGCTGCTATAAACTTGGAGGACAAGTAGTGGGCGTTAAAATGCCCACGTTGAACAAAGTTTACAGAAAAAAATGAAATATTGTGAATGTGTTTGCTTTAATTGTGGAAGTCAACCAAACAGAGAAGCTCAGTTTCTTTGTCTGCTGTCTATCTACCAAAGGGACATAAGCTCAATGCCAAAATGGTGATATATACTGCACAAAGAGATCAATCTGTGTGAGGCTCTATAGACTCCAGGGCTTCTCTCTTTTTAAAACAGAATGTCCTAAAAGTAAATCTTGAATAGCTGCTAGTTTGATTTCTCTAGTTAGAAAGTGCCTTGTTTCCTTTTTATACACTGTCTGCATTTGTCACACTCCTCCTTCAAAACAAAAGACGTGAAGCATAAACACAGAAAATGGGCATTTTGATGACGCCGCCAAAGTGTCTGGTTCCATACACGTAAAATTATGATAAAGACTGAGTTGGACTGAAGTCGCATAAATTACAATCTGGCTGTTCAGACACGTCACGCTGCCATGTATTGGATATGTATTGGTTTTTAGTACCACATATGAAAGTGGTCCAAATTGGAACTGAAGAAATCAGATTCAGTGTTTCTTACTATTCACAAGGTAACAAAAAACAAATCGGTATTACACGAAAAAGATTTGGGCCAATTTCATCCGCAAAGCGAAGGACTCCTTCAGTATTAAGTTGCAAATCTTTTGTATGTAATGACTTTCTGACAGACAGTGACAGTCATTTCCAGATGCTTTAGTCGTAAGCACTTGGCTTTTTTCCACTCTTCTGCCTCTGAAAATGTTCTTGATTACAAGGACAATGTGCTACTGTCCTGTTGTGTTATCACGTTGTCTCAAAAGTTTTGAATCTGGCAAGATATTTTCCGCAGACTTCAGAATTTCCTGCTGCTACCATCTGCAGTCACATCAATTAAGGTAACTCACCCAGTCCTAGCATCAGCTATACTCCACATACCCAAAGCATTACAATACCCCTGCCATTTTGACGTGATGTACTAGGGATTATGGACAGTTCACGTTTCCTCCACATTTTCCAAATTTCATTACTATGGAGCAACAAGCAGAAACTGTGATATTTTTACTGACTGTCAACAGTTTCTACTGCTAGCGAAGAGACAACAATGAAAAGAACCATGCTCAAAAGAAATTCAAAAGGAGTTGTCTGAATGCCAACTTACACAACTTAAAAACAAAAAAAACAAACAAAAAAAAAAACCAAGAAAAACAAAAGAAAAAGAAAAACAAAAGAAAAGCCTACAGGTCTATAATAGCATGTAAACAACACATTTAGAGCTTTCAAATGTTGTCAGTAACTGTATCTAACATTCACTGCTCAATAATAGTTCCTCCAATCAACATTCCTTTCTTTCTTGCATAATTTTAAACTCCAATTACCCTTTGCATTGTGTCAAACTTTCATGCGGACTGGACAAATAGAAATGGTCCAAGATGACTTGGGGGGGGTCTTGTTACATTAACTTACATGAAGTACATGCTTTTGATGTTAAGCATGTTTTTCCCTTGTCCCATTTAGAGCTTTGGAGACATTAGGTTGAATTAGCTAACTATCATTTTAAAAACCATTAACTGTAGTAAAATCACTGCACTACACAGCTTTAATAAGAAAAAACATGTGCTGTGCCTACTTTCCAAAAAATATGCTCACACATGTGGTTCTGAGGTTTAGAGAGCAGTTTGTTGATAGAGCTGTTATGTTCCTTCTCTCACTCCATCACTGCATGACTGGCTAGTTTAATTTGGTGAGCAACTCCTAACACTGCTTGAACGATTTGTTGCCCATCATAATCATCCACCCACAATAGTATAATTTAGGGGTGGGGAATGACAATATTTATCAATATCATCATGATATATTACATTATGTCAAACTATGCTTTTTTGGGCATACTGTGGATGACGCTACTTCAAAAATAATGACCAATGACAATGTTTCATTACAATGAAAGCATAATTAGTCCTGTGTATTTGGATGTAGTGCAGTGCAGAATTGAAATGTTGAATACAAGTCACTGCCATGGCGTTACTGGTTCTTTTTTTTGTCTGTGCCAAGCAAACCTCAGAAAAACTACATTTGTGATGCATATTGTGTAACATGATGTTATATTTTTTTGTCCCATCATCAACCCCTACTGAGCAAATTGAGCAAATGCTAATAGTGCTTAAAGGATATGACAAATTCCTGTGTGCACTGGCTTGCAACCACACACCACTATGGTTACTGTTGTCTCTCCTGGTTGAACATAGCTTTACCTCCATAGTGTGATCTCTCACATTAGATACGTTCAACTTCTGCCAGAAAATACAAGCCCACTGTTGTGGGATGTTTTCATTGTCATGGTGACACCACTGTCAAACACTGTGTGGTCTGAAACGCCTACGCAGCCCTGAAGTCGAGTTGTTCAAGCTTTTATGTTTTTTTTTGTTTTTTTTTATCTGATCTAATGATCAAGTCAAGTACCTCCAACTGAGATCGTTTTAATATTTGCAACAGAGTTAACAGAGCCTTTAGGTTTATCTGATGTGTCGTTTTCTGAATTTTGTTGACTTTCACGACCATCTGCCTACACACTGGAGTACGCTTCCTTAACGCTTGACTGTCAATCAAGGGTTTTTTCTTTTTAGGACTGCAAGGATTCCTCCTCATCTACTACAGTAGCTTTCTTTGGTTTAATAGGTCATTTGCTGCTGCTAAGCATTCTTCTTAATCATGTAGAGATTTCAGCAGGCACAATATTTATTTCTGAGACTTCAGCTTAACTAACAGCAATCTATGAAAAGGGAAAGCATAAATTAAAGACTAGCCAACTCATGCATGCACGGTGATTGAAAATTAACCCTGTCTTAAGAAACAGCTGCAAAACCAACTGTTTAAAAACTGGGGTGAACATTCAAAAAGTGCCATGATTTCTATGCAAATTCCCCAAATGCATGCACACATAAATAAACAAAAACATACAAACATACAAACACACACCCCCAGAAATACTTAAAATACATTCCTGCTTGATTTATCCTAACCTCAAGGCCACCCTCACAAGCTTGAGATATGCTATGAACATGAGTCTATTTTCATAACGTGGACACTTAGGTCATTTACACTGTTGTAAATCCAGTTGCTATTAAAAGCCTTTAAAAAAAAGGAAGGCGGCTTAATGAAAAACGCTAGTTAATCAAGGACCATTCCTGCTCCTTGACATGTTCTGAACGGCAAAACATGTAATAAATGAGACGATCCTGCATTAACATCTCATGGCTAGTGATGTGCAGTTGAACTGATTTTGATATTAAAGTTTCCACAAGAGTTAATGAGAAGATATCCAATATCTAGAAGATTTACCCACAACAACACACACATGAAAAATGGCCCAATAAGGTACTTCAGCCAAAATTGACGTGGTGCTGGAGCTGGAGGCTTACTCCTTTAGGGGACCCAAAAAACAACAACAACAACAACAGTTGTTCTACTAATAAACCTGCAACTAATCTGTTTTCATGGTCGTGCACTTACTGTGTCTTTGGCAATGCACTCACATTTGGCCTCACTGTTTTGGCATGGCAAAGTGTAACACACATACAGATAAAAGCAAAATCGTCGTAACATTTTACTGTCCTCTTGACGCATAAAAGCAGTGTTTCAATGAATTCTAAGTCTGCACATTTTCCCCATCTTGCTGTGCTGAAATGCAACAAACACCTGTACAGTGTTTTAGTATTCCGATACTGGCACCTCGAAAAGTTAACCAAGTACTCAAGTACCTGTGTACACCTCCACACAGGTCACTTAATCTCCTAGTCAAATGCATCATGCCCTGAGTGGTCAGCTGACAATATTACCACAGTACTTTGGATCTTCGAAACAGCTGTGCAAAAACTTTCAGCATGATCTAAAAGGCAGCATCTGCATGTCCACGTGAGGCATATTAAATCAAGACAAGGACAAGAAACTCCTGGTTTGTCTACTGCAGGAAAATTCAAACCACACTCATCCAAGTACATGTTACTATTGTTGCCAATTGTCTGAAGAAAAAAAGGCCCGTATTCATTAAGCTTGACAGGTCTGATTTGGATTTGCTGCTGTTAATAGGGTCTAGGTAGCCTTTTAAAATTTTCCAGTACTTTGATTTTGATAACTTCTTTAAAAGTGCAGAGCGAATTGGGTGTGGCTTAAACAAATGAGTGTAAGGTGCTGACAAGGAAAAGACTGACACAGAAAAGACTGACTATTTAGGTATCGAAATTAGGTATGGGAAGGCATGGAATTTCTCAATACACTAACATTGAAGTAATTCGGTCAATACCATAAAAGCCTTGCATTCAGATTTTCAGCCCTACCTTAGGTAACTAAATAAAACAGGAATCTTCTGTTTTTAACGATTAAACTATATTTTCAGTACAAGACTTCAGTAGTTGCTTAATCCATTGTTCATGATGTTTGAGTCCATTTTCTCTAAAATACTACAGCACATGTACTCTGTTCGTCCTCGCAGCATGCATCCTCAAATGACAAAAATGGATGCAAAAGGTAAGGTGGTCACCCAGCATGTTAGAGCTTGAGCACTGATGACAGATACTGAATATGAGTAGCATGAGATTTTACCTGATTGTACCCGTGGGAGAGGGCAGGGGACTCATCAGGTGGGCAATGTTGTCTGGAATGTTGATGGTCAGCGGCGAGATTTGGGGCTGGACTGCCTTCACAGGGGACTCTGGGGCATTCCTCCTATCTTTCTTGCTGCTGGAAAGCGCGGTGAACGTGATCTTGATATTAGTGCTGGGGAAGCGGAATGTGCACCTTTAAAAGAGAAGGGAGGTCATTTTACAATTTTTATATGGCCTATAAAATACACACCGAGTGCGCTGTTGTACATAATTAAACCAAAAAGTTAACATTAAATAACCTGATCTTCTTCTATCACTAAGACATGAGTAGCTCACAAGTAAACAAGGCCTAAGGCTAATTGCAAACCAGTAACTGAATCCACAAGTGTCTGTGGTTTATATATGGAGGTCAGCATGACTAGGTTACATAAGACATATTTCTTTTTTTATGGACATAGACAGATATATTTGAACCAGTGCTAAACCATAAACACAGACACCCAGCTCTGTAGCCAGCTGAAAGGTGGTGACATTTAATTTAAATGCTGTTTCATTCAATCTTTCAACAAATTATACAAAGAAATAAACCACAAAAATGATGCTTGCTGAGTGGTTTATTTCTCTATCTAGTACTATGTGCTAATTCAGTTGTCTATGAAATCTTTATTACCTATGAAAATCAGGGCATCCGTCTGCCCTAAACCCTGTAACTCCAGGAGAATGACCAAGAGTTAGATAGACCAAAACAAAGCCCTGAGTGGGTCACGCAGCCTTTTGGTTAAAGGCTTTCATTCATATTCAAAGAGAGACTCAAATAAAACGGCACAGATCACATATGTTACAAAAAAAACGCTCTTTTCCTCATACAAGCGTTCATATCACGCCATGTTTTAATACAACAAATATATAAAATAGCTGTAATACTACGTCAGCATTACAAGCACTACTGTAAGGCAATGACCTACTAGCATAATACGTGTCCAAGCCAAATGCTGTTTTACCACAAACAATTAACCTATTATTAAAACCACCATATACACTTCCTTACAATGAATTCAATGCGTGCTGGTTCAAATCTCAGGCAAAGCACGCCTTTTGAGGAGATGAGGGGTTAAAGGACAGGATGTTGCTCTGTGCAGCTAATCTAGCTAGCTAGGTTAACAGTGTGGTTTAGACCTTTTCAAGACAAAACCTCAACTCACTACACAGAAACATGCCTAAGGCCGTTACAGCATTCGTGCTGTAATGCCTGTTCTCTGCTGAGGGCCCTATATTGGAACATGTAGTCGTTTAACTGCCTTGCAGGAAAACAATCAAAAGAGGACAGGATAGCGTTAGCTAGCTAACATGCTAGCTAACTGGCTGAAGCGAGCAACATGAGACCTGCGTTGGCTTTGGTTGTCATAACCAACACGTGCTGGCCGGCCAAACAAAACAAAAAGCCACCACAGACATGCGTTTCGTATAATTTCGATGCACATAGCAGAATAACAAAAAACACCAGCCGTGGTCTTACACTCGGGGGAGTTGGAGAGGAGGAGCCCCCCGCCTCTGGAACACGCCGTCCACAAACACCCCGTTTTTGCCGAGGCACCGCAGGTAGAAGTCCCCGCCGCCGGCTCCGTCTTCGCCCACGGTGAAAATTTCCAAGTGCCGGCGGGAGATGAAGCTCGAGTGGCCCATGCTGACGTCCACGGAGCCCTGGGAAGAGTTTCTGCCCACGGTCACCGAGCGTTTCTTCATGAGGTACTCAAACTCTCGGCCCTCCAGCCGGGCGACCGCAGACCCTGACACCCCGCTCACCGCCATCTTTCTGATCTAAACGGCTTTTGGCGTCGATTTGTCCTTGCAGAGTGGCTTCTGGAGGGCTAAAGGATTGCTCTTGTGCTTGGGGCGGGGGTCGAATTTGAAAATTTAGCCGGGGGAATCGAATCGAAAGATGGAGATTAAAAAAAACGTGGAGGATCACGCCAGCGGCTCCCAACCCACCGCCGCAACGGAGAGAAAGAGAACGGGGCAAAAACCCACCAACAAACCGTGGGGGCGGGGCCTAAGAGACCGACAAGGGCAGTGACCAATGAGGAACTGGGTGACGTAAGCGAAGCAGCCAATCAGCACTTAGGATCAGGATGAACTCAGGGAGTTATAGGCTGAGGTTGGTTGCACGGTGGGATTGACACGCATGTAAATGGTGTGTTGGAGGAGACGGATTGGAGACTCAAACACATAAAATTGAAAGATTAGCGAGGGATCGTTTGGAAACCCTTTATAAAACAACCGAGCACGCTGTCGTAGTAGGTCTGGTGCCTGCATGCACCAAAAACTGCATGTTTTCGGATGGTGAAACAATGCTGCCAATATGAAACATGGCTTACTGTGAATACCTGAAATCACACTCCCACCCAAACACAAACAGACCATCCCTCAGCCTACATCGAGACTATGCCATGTCTTACAAGTTTCCTACAGCTTTTCAGCACAGGTTTATGATATAACACATTCATACTTATATTGATAATGTTCCTAAGTTGGTTAAACTGTGGCGTTGCAATAAATCTTCACTATTCCATTATGTATTGGTACGCCTTAGTTTAATTTGCGTCATGAAATATATACCTTCATTTTTGCATTGATATTAAACAATAAATGATCATGTCTTCTTGTCTGAAGGGAAAATGTGGTGCTATTCTTTAATGTAGCTATGCTTGTTAGTAAACAACAGTGACGTGAGTGGTGGGCGTGTCAGAAAAAAACACAAATAGCCAATTAGGACAGATAACAATTAACCAATTGACAAATTTCTAATGTGTATTTCACAATTGTGTTTAATTTGTCACATGATAAATTGTGTGCTGTATCCCTGCAGAGCTCACAGTCCTAGCGTACGTTACATCATTATACTTGAACATTGCGTTATATGTAATCACTTCTACATTTTACAATCACGACAAAAGCATGACATGAGTTTGGATCAACATAACAGCTTGAAAAAATACAAAACAGAGAAACGATTATGTAGAATGAATACAGTTCAAGCATAAATACACTCGGGTTAAGACTGGGCACTTTGGTAATCTTTCTGCTTAACAACTATTTTACAAAAATTGAGAGCGTCAGTGGAAGAAAATTATGATCGCCTTTTTATCGCTACAACTCAAACGTGTCACACTACCTGTTAATTCTTTTATCTAAAGAAGGTAATATTCACGTTCATCCTTTAACTTCTGTAAAAATAGATCCCCCACACAGGAGGTATTGGCCATTCAAAATTCACATTAAATCTTATACAAAGGGAAATGTCGCATGCATGATTATTCGTAACTAGCTTAGTAACCATAAAGGACATGGAACTTTGTGTATTCATTTACCAACTTGGAAGCTCCAATCTGTATTTAAGATCAAATTCTGGTTTACTAGAATGCCCCCATCTGCCTTATGGCTTAGGATTATCCTTTCTGTGTTTCATGGATTGAGTGCAAAGTGGCTATGCACACACTAGTAGAATGCATTTAGCAAATACTAATTTGTTTCGATTAAACAGATTAACTCCCAACAATTGTGAGAAAAAATAAAGAATATTGCACGTACATGTAAGTAACATAAAATGAAAAAACACATCTACATCATAGTTGCTTTTTTTCCCTTGCCTATGCATGTTAAGTCTATGTAGTTACATACGTTCTGTCTGCTATTTTGTGTTTATAGTAGTAAAACAAAACCTAACACTACTAATATTTTGTACATACATATTGTGAATGATGAATACATGTACACTCATCACTCCTCTTCAGCAATGACAGAGGCACTCCCTACATTAGATTAGGCGGTGTTAGTGATCTTTCTAGCCATCTCTATACTAAAAAAACTGCAATTCCCATGGAAGACCTTTTAAAAAGCAACTGCTGTTCGTTCAAAAAAATACAGTTTCCCTCTTCTCTCTCCACTGGACTGGACAAGTCGACTGCAGTAGGGTTATCCGTCCATTTCTCTGCTTGACCAGAGTCTTTTAGTTTGAGTAAAAGGAACAGAAAAGTGAGCTTACAGATCTCTCAATCTTTCTTTGTCACCAGGGAGTCCCTGATATGGTTCATCTCCCTAAAGTGACACTGGGTCATGAATGCCATGTACAGTAGGTCCACTGACATTCTGCAAAAATGGAAATGTCAGGAGGGAAAAAAAAATCACTTAAATCCAAGTAGTATCTGTGCTCAGATCTTCTCATCGGTCATTTCCAAAAACTGGGCATATACATCCCTTGAACACTCCCCTTTTTGGTTGAACAGGAACTTGTAGTAGCTGCCATCAGCACAAATGGCTGTGTAAAGGAAGGAAGTAAGAGTAATGGTCAGTAAGCCTGCTCAGTAAACACGTTCAGACGGTCAGCAAGTCTGTTCCAATACAAGTAAAGTACCACTCATTCACTCCCAATCCACACAGACAATACTAGCATGCTTAGCAGTCTGCATTTCTTAAAAATGAAACAGGCTGAGATTTGTCCAATGCTCTGGCCCTGAGTGAAGTTCTTGCATCACTACACTTCACACCAGATGAGATAATTCTTAACTAGAGGCTATTTAAATGAACACACAGCTTTACCGCACCTATGACTGCATTGGGCTCAGTTCCAAAGGCACAGACGCAGGGCGAACCAGACGGGACCTGGAACTTGGAGAAGCTCCATTTGGAGCTGAAATACTTGGGGAGAAAGCTGGCAGAGGCCAAGCTGTAAGAGAGCAAAAGAGAAACATGTGAGATGAGACTTATCAACTTCATATTTTGTAAGTGGATAAAGAAAAACAAAGCTTCAGGCAAACCTGCACGTAAATGTAAAACAACACGATCTGAATTTACATTCAGTGGCTTCTTTATTTGCATTTTGACACAAACCTTGATTGCTTGTTCCTTTTTGGATCTTCTGCAGCAAATATGTGGACAGTACCATGGTCACTTGACACACAGATGAGAGATGCATCCTGGTTGAAATTAATGCTGAAGGAAAACATGGCCGTTAAATATGTAACTTCTTATACACCTGCAAAGCAACAGCAGAACACAAGACCTGGGGTCATGCATTATAGAGTAGAACAATGATAACAACTCACCAGTATATGTTTGCAGTTTGTGATCCTCGTCTTAACTCCTGAATCAGATGACCTGTTGAGGTGTCGAATATTCTGATCAGCGTGCCCTGAACAGATGAACACTGAATTACCCCAACAATCTAAGCAACTATTACTGTTACTTTTTATTTTGTGGTACTTATTTTGGGTTTGATATCCAGAGTAGCTCCAAAAAACTCGAAAAAAAAACTGTTCATGTGATTGACATGTAAAAATATATATGCATAGTTAATTCAGAAAAAAAAATCATTATATATTATATATTACACATTAATGTGTAATGTAAATGCCAGAGACCACTCTTCATTTATTTAATATCAAATCAAAACAGCCATCAAGTACAAGTTGTTATTTTTTCAGTGTCAGGAAAAAAGGAAGAAATGCATACTTAACCTTAAATTCACTGAAGTCTCAACAACTGAACGTAATATAAACTTTTTCAGTATATAGTGCATCTATCCTTTGCCTTTATTACAGCATTCTTTTCAGGAGATTTACTTAGTTACTCTGTTTTTCAAAGAAATCTATACCTCCAATGTTCAGTCTTAAACATTGGTTGCATTTTCTGCTTCTCATGATCAAAATAATCCCAAACACATTCAAAGATTTTGAGGTCAAATCCTTTAAGACCCATAGTGTTGAGTGGTCTTCTCACAGTGGAAGGATGAACAGAAACACCTGTGGACCTGCTGTTTATTTGATGGTGACAGTTTTGGTGGTCTACCAGGACTTGCACAGTTGAAGGTAATCCCATTAATATTATAATACAACTCAAGTTTTGGAAACTTATTTTCCTTTGACTTTCCCTGTCATTATGCAAGTGGATACTCTTGTATCTAATGTTCTCAGAAATATCTCCTGAAAAATAAAAGTACTTAATGGCTGTTTTGACTGGAAATTAAATAAATGAAGGGTGGTCTCTGACTTTTTCACAGTAATGTATTATGTAAAAGCTTTATGCACAACCACATCTGGACCTCACTTTTTCAGAAGCTGTGGCTATCCGTGTTCCCTGGAGGTTAAGGGCAATGCAGCACAGAGCTCCCTCATGGGCAGGAATGTCAACCGGAGGCCGCTCGGTATTGGCCAGGTCTACTATTTGCACATGCCCAGAGTGGGTTCCAGGAAATGCTAGCAAAGAGTTGTTACTGTTTGGGCACAGAACGCAGAGACCTGCAAGATAATTATATGGACAAAGTGCATCAATAACTGCATCAAAACTGACTGTACAAATACAGAAATATAATTAGCTCTGCTAGCAAAAACATTTATTAACACAACTGCATGTGGACACTTATACATCACACCCATATGAGCTTTTTGGACATCCCTTTCTAAAACCATGGGCATAATATTGAGTTGTCTCCTCTGTGGCTCCACTCTTCTGGGAAGGCTTTCCATTACATTTTGAGTGCGTCTGTAGGAATTTGTGCCCTTTCAGTCAAAAGAGCATTTGTGAGGTCAGGCACTGATGTTGGACGAGAAGGTGTGGCTCATAATTGATGGCCCAATTCATCCCAAGAGGTTGAGGTCATGACTCTGCACAGGCCACTGGAGTTCCTCCACACTAAACTCATCAAACCATGTCTTTATAGGGCTCACTTTGTGCACAGGGGCACAGTCATATTGGAACAGGAAAGGGTCTTCCCCAAACTTTTCCAACAATGTTTGAAGCATATAATTGTCGACAATTCCGTTGTATGTTGTAGTTTCCCTTCACAGGAACTAAAGGGCCTAGCCAAAATCCTGAAAAAACTGCCCCAGACCATTATCTCTCCTCCACCAAACTTTACTCTTGGCACTATGCAATCCGGTAGGTAGTGTTCTCCTGGCATCTTGCCAAACCCAGATTTGTCCAACAGATGGCCAGAGTAGCGTGATTCATCACTGCAGAGAACACATTTACTCCAGGGTTCAGTAGCAAAATGCAGCCGGCACTTGCTCTTAGGCTTGTGTGCAACTGCTCAGCCATGGAAATCCATTTCATAAAGCTCCCAATGCAAAGTTGTTGTACTGATGTTGCTTCCAGAGGCAGTTTGGAACTCTGTAGTGAGTGAGCAGCCCCGCTCTGTGAGCTTGTGTGGTCTACTGCTTCGTTGTTAAGCTGTTTTTGCTCCAAGACACTGATATTTCACAATAATAGCATTTACAGTTGACTGGGGCAAATCTAGCATGACAGAAATTTCACTAACTGACTTGTGGCAAAGGTGGCATCTTATGACACAGCTGTGTTTAAAGTTACTGAGCTCTTCAGTACCCATTCTACTGCCAATAATGGTCTATGGAGATTGACTAACTAACTACATTGATTAACTACAACATACAAAGGAATTGTCGACAATTATATGCTTCAAACATTGTTGGAAAAGTTTGGGGAAGACCCTTTCCTGTTCCAACATGACTGTGCCCCTGTGCACAAAGTGAGCCCTATAAAGACATGGTTTGATGAGTTTAGTGTGGAGGAACTCCAGTGGCCTGTGCAGAGTCATGACCTCAACCTCTTGGGATGAATTTGTTAACAATGGTTGTGGCTGAAACACCTGAACTCAATAATTAGGAGGGTTGTCCACATGCTTTTGGCCACATGTGTTAGCAAAAAGAAAATGATACATCCAACAGCACTGTAAATTAGCATCATTCCTCTACAAGAGAACCTTTCACAAATAACACCTGGATCCTGAATGTCAACAAAATACACCATATGAATGTGACTCTGCATTCTGTTTCACATACAAGACTTACCTTTGGGGTTGTAGCATGTTTCAAATACATGCAGCTGGTGAGGGTTATGTGTAAAAGTAAAGACTTTGATCATTGAGTCCAGGACGACCACAATTCTGAAACCACAGACATACAAATATTAATGGGTTTTTGGACATTCAATATTTTATTATTTGTATATCTAAGGCTTTAAAAACAGAAAACTGCACATTACACATCACTAACTGCATTTACAAGTACACAATGAATGTGATGTTTACAGCAGTTCTACAAAAGAATAGTCCATTTATAGTCTATATAGTTTACATGCTTAGTCTGACATTACCATGTGAAACTCCCCCTTTATGAAGCTCCTTAATTAATCCATGAGTTTCTCGCTGTTTAAAAATATCAGCAGTTTTTTTTTCCATACACTTAAAGACCAGCACTGAGCTATTTATCTACCTGACGCTGGAAAATAACAACGATAATTTGGGCCAATCATGTAGTTGTAGAGACAAAGAAGAATACAGAGATTCAGGAAAGTATCTTGCTGCAAGAGACAATGTGATTTTGAACACTACCATTTATTTAATGATGCAGACACTTTAGGGAAGTGGAGCTTGGACTGCTCATTTTTTCAACAACTAACATTCACAGATAATGGAAAAAGCTCCAGAGAGAGGAAAGAGTGGACTCACTGAGTTCAGGCCAACAAAAAATACAGACCTGCTCCTTGAATCTCTACCTTGTGAGTGATTACCAGACATCAAAATCATTAGTTTCTACCCAGTTATGAGGGTCACTTACATACTGATATCAATTTTTTGTGAATGTGAATTGTATTAATTCACATCACAGCCTACTTTGCATTATGATGACATCACATTTCAAGACAAAATTAATCTAAATCTTCTTTGGCAAAACCAAACTTCTTAGAATCATTTGATTCATTCACCAGCGAAAAAGTTTTAGAGTGGCACCTTGTGAAGGCAACATTTGATACTTTCATTTAAAGGGTTGTCTTTTAGCTGTAAGGTCTTGCATGTATGTATTATTGACTGCCAAATGAAGCAGTACTGGTCATTTTTGATTTTTGTGTTTTCTCAGTAGGATTTAAATGGACATAAAATTATCATAATACTTTATTCATGACATCTGATAGGTTGATACAGACAAAAAAAAAAACAGTGTCATATTTAAAACATACTATCTATGTAACTATGAGAACAAATAATTTTTAGGCAGTTGCCTAGTTGCCTTTTACAGCTACTGAGCCATTGCACTATGCTTTAGCAATTGCTAATGGCTTCTGGATGACTGGCCAATTACCTGCTTGCGTAAGACACTACAACTTATCACCACGGTTACTCTAGTCACTTCAAGTCGAACATAACTTTACCCTTGTAATCCAATCTCTCTCACAACCTCTGCCAGAAAATAAAATCTGTCACAAATCCTTAGGATTATTGAAGTAGTTGTCATTTTTTTCACAGAGTCAACAGTTCCTTTAAGAAAACTACAAAAGCATATAAAGTGATTTTAAATACCTGTCTCGTCGTAGCTTAACAGCTTTGACTTCTGTGGAAAACTCAATCTCAATCACAGTCTTCTTCTTGAGGTCATCCCAGATCATCACTTGTAAAACATGGAAGACGATACTCATTACACAGGAGCCTCAAATGCAACTGTGTTTCAACAAGAATGAGTAAGTCTGACCTAAATATAATGGAAAACCTAAGTACTAATTTAAACTGCATCTAAAGCAACACAAATTTTTTTGTTGTTTTTTTTTTTTTAAACTGGCTTCTGTGACTGGATATTACAAACCGATAAGCATTTTGCTTCATCATCTTGAAAATAATCTGTCAACTGTAACAGGCAGGACTACCACTATAATGGCATTTTGTCCATGTTATACAGCACCAAGCAGAATATACCTTTATTAGGTGGGTACTTGGGTTTCTTGCCTCCTCCAACAAGTGCGAGATAGTTGCATCGAAAAAGCATCTCCACATGCCCAACCCCACCTTCAAGAAACTCTGAAAATCAAACACGCAATTGTAACACCAAAATCACAGCTTAATATTTTTGAGAAGTAAAGTCTATTGCAAAGTCTCGTCTACTAGATCATGCCATTCAACTCCATGATAACAGGGTTCTTGTAAAAAGTTATATCAGCTTCATTCAGACCATTAAAATTTACTGCCAACCTACTTTACGAAATATCTGCTACTTTATGACACAATACAATCTTTGTCTGATTTTTCTCCAATTCATTTTACATCCCAGCAGCTCTATTATATAAACACCCTACAACACACCTTACATGTTCACAAGACACACCTTACATCACACTGTACCCCCTATCTGTACTGCACAATACTAACATTACATCTTCACACAGTATTATACAGTGGATGTATGTATAACTATATGTGCACCTGTTTGAAGATAGAATGTTGCATTCACTATGCAGCATGTGTGCGGGCTTGGAAGAAATTCTACACGCTAGCCTTTTCATATTCTTTCTGTAAGCTGCTATACAACTGTTCTCCAGAGACTGGTCAACAACAAGTCTGTAGTAATCTAAACAATCTAGCCATTAGTTTCACCAAAAGAAAAATATATCACGTTGCAGCACATTACTGCATTAAAGTCCAAGTTACTGAAATGTAAAATGACCTAAAATCCAGTTGTCAGCACCAAAAGTTCCTAACTTTTGATAGGTATGTTGTTATAGTTTACTGCAAATAAAATCACATACAAATATTCCTTGATAATATTGCTATTACCATCTACATCAAGGTATTTGTAGTATATACTTTGCCTAAATCGTTCACTGTTAGTGGAGGTTCTTGTAGGAACAAACAAACATCATCATCATCTACCAGCAGAGCAAATAATGTAGAATCAATAGAACATAAGAACATAAAATGGTTTGGATCCTGAGCTTTTCAATCATTAGTATGCACTATGAACAGAATAAACAACAGTAATGACAGATGAAGACAGTGCCTCATTTACTTTCACTTACTGTACTCTTTTAGAAAAATAATGAATGAGATGAGGATTTAACTTACTGACAACTACCCTTCACAACACTTCAGTGGAGGTGCTGCGATTGTGTGTAGAGTGTGAGAAACCACCCTGGAAAATCACATGTTCTGGGACGTAAAACTGAATAACTAACTTCCTCATATAACCTTCCTCAACACTCTTCGAGGCTGATTCATTTTGTTGGATCAATGAGGCAGCCTGTGTCTTGTTCTATCCTTGTTCGGTTCCTACTTAACTGAACTGTCTTACTAACAGTTTTCTGTAACGTTAGTTTACAGTAAAGACACACTGAACTATCAAGGTGACTAATATGAAGTTAGTTCGACGGGTCACATGCAATAGTCACCTTGCTTTTCTTTTTCTTTTAGAGGATCTGTGTTGTACACCCTGAATCCGTTTTCCATTCCACATGCAAAGCATCCTGAAAAAAAAGAGGACAAGACCTTTTCAGTGCTAAACTGGTGGTACTTCTCAACGGAACATTAGTAACGTTAGTCCACTGGCTATCTGACAGACTAACATAAGCTTGGCTGTTATGGACCTTGTCAGCCAATTAGCTAGCTAATGTCAGAAATGAACATATTTTTTTTTGCGAAAAAAAATCTGACAAAAAATCTAACCTAATCATTCTCAACTTGCTGCTTTGGAATAATTACATTTGTCCGTACACTGGGTTTAACATCATAACTCTGCGCAGCTAGCTAACGTTATAGCTAGCCGTGAAGTAAACTTGCTATCGTAAAAGAACTGCTTAGAAGAGCCGTAAAGCCACCGTTTTAAACTCATACAAAAGTACATTTAACTACGTAAGATATTTTAGAAACCCAAACAGTTAACAAGAGCCAGTGAGCCGACCTCTGTATATCAGCTAGCTAACGTTTTCCAAGGTAAGTAACCGTTAGCTATCGCCATCGCGACATAGCAGGAATGACGTTAGCCTGCTAGTTTAGCATAGCCAGTCAACAACAGTAAACACCATACCATGATCTTGATTAAATCCAGCATAAAGAAGCCCATTTCCGTGGGGGTTGGACGGCAATAAATTCATGGTGTGTAAGTAGGTTAATTAGCCGGCTAAATGGTCAGAAATGCCCACTTGCTTTTAACCGAAAGACACCATTCCTCTCGCTAGTTTCCTAAGATGATATTTAGCGGTGGTCAGGAAATCTGTGGCAGCGTTCCGGCGGTCCCCTCCTTTCCTACAGCACACACAGGAAAAGTAATCAACTGGAGCAACTGATCAGAGAGTTTTAATGCACGGTTACCTACGGCCGATTTCAATATGAACGGGTCTCAATTTTCTGTTAAGGCGTAAATCTGTCTGGTGCCAGGTAACTAAGGCGGTGTGCTCCCAGATAACGTTAGCGCTCTGTGATATGAAGTAGAAAGAAATCACAACTAACGTTGAGGTAATGTTTGCTAGCTAGCTAGCTAACCGTTATCGTTATAGGCATTTTACACAATGTTAGCTAAAAGCCTTGAGATTCAGAACGGTGGATTTTCCTAGGTCAAAACCTTGTCTTAGCTATTGACAATAACCTCGTAATTACTAAATCTTCGTATGCAGCGTTTCATCTGTACTCATAGCTATACCCATGAACAATGTGAATTCATCACAAATCCGCCCACGGAACAACAAGCTAGTAGGGGATTGATGCTGCGAGGGCGTTCGCCATAGCCCCAGTGGCCTAATGGATAAGGCACTGGCCTCCTAAGCCAGGGATTGTGGGTTCGAGTCCCATCTGGGGTGAAAGGTTTTTATGTTATATATCGCCAAAATTTACTGTAAGTGTGCACAAAATATTTATGAAGATTATAGTTTGGATACTATTTTGCCTTACAGCATCCCGCATGTACCCTGCTGCCAAGAATGTGTTATGTTTCAGGCCAAAACCCTTTTAGCTGTGCACTCCAACACTTGATTGTAACTGTCCTCAGCTGCCAGTCCTTTATGCCACTCGCAGTTTGTATACACTAACATGAAAAGTCATGGGATAGCAGTATGTAAATTGATTATGAAATGGCATTGCCTCAGGGGACGGCTTGGGAACGCCCACACTTGCATAAGTTGTGAGGTGTTATCTTGTGAGTGAGGTTGAACGTGCTCAAGGCAAGGCAACATGAATTTGAGCAAGGAACGATAGTGGGTGTCAGACAGATGGGACATTCCATTTCCTAAGTTGTGCAGGCATTTAACATTCCTTGATCCACATTGTCACATGTGTACCAGGAATATGTCATAGAAGGCATTACCACCCACAGTGGACAGCGCAGTGGCCGCCCACAGGTGCTTAACGACCATGACTGGTGTTTGAAAAGTCCTACCGTAATGTATATTTTTAGGTAGCACTCTACGTAAAACTGTAGGTAGGATATTTCGATGGCCTAAATTACCCTCTTACAAAATGCTACCAGCGCTGAAATGCATAGGTAGGATAATTTGATAGCCTAAATCTCCTTATCAGAAAACATTGTTGCCAGCATTAATAGAATAATTAGGATATTTTGATTGCCTAAATGACCTTATGAGGGAGTAAGTAATATTAAGCCGAGTCTTTACTGAATTAACAATAAAAGCACAATAAAACGTTTGAAACATTAAGTTACTATGCTATAGTAATGATATGCACATGCTCAGTGGGTAGCATAGATGGGTAGGACAAATTGTTAGAACACCGGCGGATCTGGTTAGAATTGTCCATGCGAACAGACAAGCAATATAATATTCAATGCAGGAGGCCCCACACACATATGCTGCAGATCAGTGCAGCGTTCTACCAGAGTGCCTCTCTTCACACCACAACACAGGACACAGTGCCTCACCTGAGCTTGTGGACTGGCAACATGTGGCGTGGTCCAATGAGTCACAGTATCAGTTGTTTCAGGCTGATGGTAGAGCTTGTGTGTGGTGCAGACCCCATAAAGCCATGGACCCCAGTTGTCAACAAGGCACTGTACAGGCTGGTGGTGGTTCCATACTGGTGTGGGGTGTGTTCTCATGGCATGGGTTGGGTCCACTGGTCTGCCTGAACACATCATTGACTGGTGACCGCTACGTTTCACTGCTTGGTGACCATTTGCAGCCCTTCATGGGCTTTATGTACCCCCACAATGATGGGATATTCCAGCAGGATTATGCACTGTGTCATCGGGCCCAAGTTGTCCAGAATTGATTTGAGGAGCATTCTGGAGAGTTCTGACAAAAATTGTGGCTGTGGGTGGTCCAGTGTCCCATGCCTTTTGGCACATCAGTGTACTTTATAGTACATCTTTTTCTGTATTTATTGGATTTGATTTTATGTTAACACCTGTACCAAGATCATTTCTGTACATCTGGTACTTTGCAAATAAAGATTCTTGATTCTAAAAACGTTTATCGCAAAATTGTAAAACAGTGTCTCGTGTCACACAGCTTATTTATAATCAATTAGTTTAAAAACTTTCTACAATGTAGCATTTAGAGGTACTGAACTCCTCAGATGTCTGCTTCCTAGCCACTGTTAACTGTTACAGTGTTAACAGTGGATAGGACTCTCAGGAGCCCAGAACTACTTTAAAAATGTCCCCATTGGGGTCTTTTGCTTAGACCTTCAGAATCATTACATCCGCCGCTGGATGGATGATGTCAGTGTGTGTTTGGATGCAACTGCCTAAACCTTTTTTTAATCTGTCTGAGGTCTTGTTTAGCCTTCCTGATTATGATGTTAGTGTTGTTGTCATTTAAGTAAACTTTTAATGAGGCACAGATGGTTAATGGTTGGACACCAGTTCTGCGGGGCTCTTCGTAATTTTGGAATACCTGAAGATTTACGATTAGTTATATGGTTTTGAAGGTATAGGGAGATTAAACACAATCTCCTGACATTAATCCAGTTATGTATTAGTGTTCATGAAGGTAGGCCCACCCCACAATTTGTTTACCAGCTTATGTATGCAGTAATTATCCTGAAACATGGAAACAGAGGCAGCCATACAGCACATCTTATCCTGTAAAATGATCTCCTAAAATCTAATCAAATCAAATCACGTTTATTGTCACATCACATTTACACAGGTGGAAAGTGAGTGAAAATCTTAGGTGCATAGCCCCCTTATAGAATTTAAATACAAATTACATATATATATATATATATATATATATATATATATATATATATATGTGTGTGTGTGTGTGTGTGTAAATATATATTTGTATTTAAATTTTCTTCTTATATATATATATATATATATATATATATATATATATATATATATGAAGAAAAAATAAATATATATACAGCGACTCTGAATATACACATATACACAATATACACTAGTATTGCACTATTCCAATGTACAGTTCTACAGTAATAAGTTATGAAATAAAACTATGAAATGTACTATTGTATGTGCTGTTGTATGCTCCATGTTAGTCTAAGGTAGATAAATAAATGAGATGCAGGTACACAGGGATAGAATACTGATATAGAAATCTTCCAGATTATACAAGATATGGATAGAAGATGTTCAAGATGTCAGTCAATATGTGTAAGTACAGATTTGCTAGATTGAAGGTGCAGAAGAAGGAGTGAGTCTGATGAGATGTGGATGAGGTGTAGATTGTCCATGGAGACGATGACTCAGAGGTGCAGTGACAGACCGATACACCAACACTACTGGCTGTTCAGCAGCCTGATGGCCCGGGGGAAGAAACTGTCTCGGAACTGGCTGGTTCTGGACTTTATGCTTCTCTACCTCCTCCCGCTCGACAGCTGTGAGAACAGACAGTGGCTTGGGTGGATGGAGTCCTTTAGAATCCTCCTGGTCTTCCTCAGGCAGCGGCTGGTGTATAAATCCAGGAGGAGCTGCACCCCGGTGAGGTGCTGGGCTCGTCCGCACCACCCTCTGCGGAGCTTTCCGCTCAATGGCAGTGCAGTTTCCATACCAGGAGGTGATGGAGCCTGTTAGAATGCTCTCCACAGTACATATGTAAAATATATAATGTGACTATATGTTTTATAAACAATCAGTTAGCTATAGCTAGTTATCTAGTTAAGTTAACAGAGGTTGAACCTCTTCTATATAGTGCACTATGTGGCTACTTCACCCAAATAGTGCACTAACGCTATATGCCCAGCAAAGAATTGTGTACATGTTGCTGATTCACCAATGGCTTTTTGTTAGTACACAGTGTTTGGGGACAAAAAAACATATTTTAGTCTACGTAGGTTAGTGGTTATAGGAAGTGAGAAGTCATCTAAGATTTGGCCTAACTTAAGTTACACCGCTAGTTAGACGTCGTTGCCATTTACTAGCAGTCGGCAATATGTTTCAGTAAGTTAGCTTGACGAAAGTTCGTTGTACATAGAACTGTTAGTGAAAATGTTAACGTCTTACATTACGAACATTTTGAGCTATGACTTGGGAACAGTTTACCATGTGGTTCCATGGTGTAATGGTTAGCACTCTGGACTCTGAATCCAGCGATCCGAGTTCAAATCTCGGTGGAACCTTCCTATTGCTCAAACATGCAACAAAACCCCACTGTCGCTGTGCACTACACATTTTCTAGAACAAACGGGCAATATGAAACAACGTCTCTACAAATACTTTTGTACTAAATCAGCATTTAACAAAAAACACGTAGATCTGACAGCTGTTTACAGCGGTAATATGTCAGAGGACCGGAAGTTTCTACCCCTTCATCTCAATATGGCGGCTCCCACTGCAGCATGCTGTTTACGTTTCTCTGTAAGGTTTGCACAGAGGGGGGAAGTGTTGGGACGTTTCGCCAGAGTAACAAGCGACAGTTTAATTCGCAGTTTAAGCACCAGCCAACATTACACAGCCAAACACTCAGATGTTTTACAGGTAGGTTTTATCATTTGAGGACTTTTAGAGACTGTTAGCCATATACCGAGAGAAACGACGTGTTCAGCGTCTTTCACTTGGATTAACATTGTTCTGTCTCAGTGCTGAATATGGTGCCTTCAAGTCCTGTCGGAAATATATCGGATTTACGAGATAAATGCACATGAACGCCACCACAGTGTCGTATTTGCTAGTGGGAAACTCGCCTTTTCGGTGAGCCCCGAGTTTCCGAGTTTGGGGCGTGTTAACAAAAAAGCAATGATAGCCGCTGATAAGCTGTATTTCAGTTATTCATCAGCCACAACCGTAACACTGCAGGCTGAGACCATCCACACATGTAAATACACATATAAGCATGTTATGTGATGCATCTAACTGCATACTCTTCTCATAAGCATCTTCTGCTCGCCACTTTGTTGCAGTAACGCAAAATACACAGACTACCCTTAATGTCAGACGAATAGTAAACCAAAAACACTGTTTCCAGTGTATCTGTCTTATTTCCAACCAAAACCACTTGAACACAAATCAAGTCGTACTTAAGACCTTCCGAGGAGGACTTGAAGGCAGCAGTAGGCAGTCAGTGCTGTCTATCTGCTTGCAATGAGTCTTATGACAAAATATTGTTTTTATATTTTAACAGGGTGTTCAGCCTCCTGCCATTCCAGTTGGTACGTACCTTCATGAAGAAGCAGATGTATGATTGTTTGAGTGCTGATGGTTGATTTAATCAGTTATGCTGTTTTACCTGTGTTTTCTGTAGATTCTCATTCATTTTGTGCTACGAGTCCCTAAGGGGCTGTGTTTTTTTTTAAGTTAATGACATTGCGTTCCCTTGCGAATGTTTTGCATGCACTTGCAAAGGAAGTCAAGGTCGGTGCAAATAGTTTTTTCTGCAAAGGCACTTTAGGGGCTCCGTATGATACAGAGCTTTACAGTAGAACATTAGTGTTACCAGGGGAATACAATTGAAATACACAAATATAGCAAAAAAAAAAGAATAAAAAAGACAGACATCACATCTTGCACAATGTAAATATCGAATATCTTAAAACGAATTACATTTTTTCAATATGTTTATCAATTTAGCAGCTTTTTCATGCCCTGAATTGAGGAGACATTCGTAAAAGTAATTTTTAAAGAAGTTGTTTGGGAATTTGGGATTCTATTTGTAAATTACATTTTATGGATAAAATATTTACCAAGAAAAATAAACAGATTAATTATTAGTCTTTGAAGTGCGTAGCTCCTCGGCCATGGAAACCCATTTTGTGAAACTCCTAATGTGCAGTTCTTTTGCTGATGTTGCTTCTAGAATGAATTTAGAACTTGTTAGTGAGTGATTCAACAGAGAATAGTCACTGTGCGCTTCAGCACTCGATGGCCCCATTCTGTGAGTTTGCATGGTGTACCACTTTGTGGCTGAGCTGTTGTTGCACATAGGAGCTTCTATTTCACAATAATAGCACTTACAGTTGACAGGGACAGATCTAGTGGGACAGATCTAGCAGGGCAGACATTTCACAAACTGACTTGAGACAGAGGGGCATCCTATGACAGTGCCATGTTTAAAGTCACTGAGCTCTTCAGTGTGACCCATTCTATTGCCAGTGTTTGTCTATCGAGACTACATGGCTATGTGCTTAAATGTATCCACCTGTTAGCAATGGGTGTGGCTGAAACACCTGAACTCAATAATTTGTAGGGCTGTCCCCATACCTTTGTCTGTATAGTGTATATTAAGGTTATCAAAGATTGATACTGTTTTGTCTATTGTGGTATCTCTAAAGAGACGGTGTATAACCCATAGCAATAGCTTCTGTTACTATAATGTATTCTTTTGTGCTTTGGAATGGGAGAATTGACCACTCTTTTGTCTGTCTTATTACAGACAAACTGAAAGTAAGTTACAGCCGAAGCAGTGGACCAGGCGGTCAACATGTAAACAAAGGTTGGAGTATGAGGGTCATGCTGGGCATTTTATAAAATATATAGAATTGCTATTAGCCTACAATATAGATTAAGTTCAATATGGGCTAAAAAAAAAAAAACACAAAAGTTTTCACACTTTTCTTGTACCTCATATTCTTTCGTAGTCAGCACGAAGGCAGAGGTCAGGTTTCATGTTCAAACAGCAGAATGGATTCCTGAAGAAGTCAGAAATGAGATTATCTTGAAGGTGAGGAGTGAAAGGACTTGATCAGACTGTTTAAACCACATTCAATGCATTTTATGATTGAGTTTTTTGAAATGAAAGGCCTTGTAAGGATATCATATTTGGTCAGTTTTGCAGTGCATGCAGGAGACAGCACTTATTTAATGTCTTGTGTTTTATCTTTGTCTGTCCAAATACTTTTTGTTCTCATTTTGCACTTAAAGAATAAAACTCGGATAAACAAAGCCGGAGAACTGATAGTAACTTCAGAGGTTAGCAGAAGTCAACAGAGGAACCTGGAAAACTGTCTGCAGAAAATCTCTGAGATCATCACAGAGGCCAGTCTAAGACCACCAGAGCCTTCAGAAGATGATATTGCCCTGAGGGCTCAAAGGTGCACCTGGTGTAATAATAATAATAATAATAATAATAATAATCCCTTCAAATATATTTTTTTCATTTAAAAAAATAATATTTATATATATGTGTGTTTTTGTTTGTTTATTTGTGCAGGTTAGAAAGAAGAAATTTAGCAAGACTTCAACAGAAGAAAATCCAATCTGCAACAAAGAGAGGACGACAAGTTGATTTTGACTGAATTAAAGTTCATTTAAAGTTATTTTGTTCTGCTTCTCTTCCCAATTTATTCATTTTTTTCTTCATAATAAGACCAATATCTATTTATCAGCATTCTGTTATACTGAAAAAAATACATGTGTTTGCATATAAATGCAGTATTACGTGGTCTGCAAAAATTAAACAAGTATTAAAAGTATTAAAACTACATAACCATAATATGTTGTAGCCTACCAGTAACTCCACAGCTTGGTTGGTTCTCCAGCAAAGACTTCTTTTCAATAAGCTACAGTGTTGTGGCCATGTAGAATTCTCAAAATTGAATCATAACACGATACATTATCCTGTGTGTGTTAGGCGGGAGGAAAAGGTGTTTTTAGCAGAGGATGGTTTCGATCCATCGACCTCTGGGTTATGGGCCCAGCACGCTTCCGCTGCGCCACTCTGCTACGCCAAAACTCCTCCCCGATTTCTTTTTCAGGAATAGATGTGTTGCTCCTTAAACCAGCGAGAGAACGTGTTTAGTTTGTGTACTATATATTTTGCCTTCTGTGTCGTTGACCGCAGAATAATGCCAAGTCTTGTTAAATTGTAGGTTATGACAATTATAGGGTCTTTGTTGAGGAATGAAAAGGACGACCACGAAGGGACTCGAACCCTCAATCTTCTGATCCGAAGTCAGACGCCTTATCCATTAGGCCACGCGGTCAATACGAGTACTACAGTCCTAGTAGTTCGACTATATGCGTGTCTGGTATTATCTCTCCATACATTGTTGATATTTAGGTCCCTGTGATCGGTAATTATATTACTAAAGAAAACACGTAAGTCGACATAAAGTGTGCTTCAATCTTCCACCTTTACTAGAATATAAAATTAACTACTCTTTTTTGCTTTTACTTGAGCACATAGTTTCTTAGAGGGGTAATTTAACTGAAATAAATCTGACCACCCTGCTAAAAAACATAGCAACCAAGTAGGAATGCATCTGGAATCAGAGCACCTCTTAAACCATTAGAAGACTTTACACTGTGATAGCAGCCCATTGAAATACATTGCTGACTATCGGACACCACCAGAAACCTGCAGAAACTTTTAATGGTTTCTATGTTTTTTCAACAGGGTTCTGTTTACAACACAAACTACCAACAATAAATGCAAAAAACAGCACACAATATGCATCTACTGAAACTACATGTAAAAAATAATAAAAAAAATCATTCTTTATTATTCAGTGCTTATCAGCCAGTCTCTGTAGCAGGGCAATGATGGTGTCTTGTTTGGAGGAGATTAACTCCAGGGCTGTTGCCATTCTTCCCAAAGCTTCAGACATGCTGCTCAGTGTCCTTTCCTGGCGTCGCTCTCGAGCATCTTTCTTTCTCTGGCGCTGATCCTCCAGGTGAGCTCTTTCTTCATGACTGGTTAGAAAATTGCGCAGGAGTGCTGTGCGCTCCCCTGCTTGTCCCTGCTGCTGGGCAAGACGAGAAGCTACTGAACTGAGCTGAAGATGCCGTAATCTCCTCTTCAGGGGCTGTCGCATAACCTTAGGGGCAGGTTTGAGGGGAACGGAGGGCATGGGGCTGTCAGTGCTGCAAGAGGGGCTTGGGTTAGGGTTAGGTTTAGGGTTTGGTTTTGGGGGTACGTTACACAGCACTGGGGAGGTCACCAGTGTGGGAATCTGGGATGGTGTGGTGAAGAGGCTATTGGGGAGCAGACATGGGGTGGCCACCGCAGCTACTGACACACTGTGAGACTGACGCTCCTCTGACCTCACTGCTGCTTTGGCTGTGGTTGCAAATCCAACGAGAGTAGCTGAAGCAGGGCCTCTCTGATCCATCTTCGTCTTTCCCAAGACTTTGTCCATCATCTGTGAAGTGTAAAGACAGAACAAGTAGATTAATCTACGATCCAAATTTACAAATGGATCTTCATCAGACTGAACACTAACCATGCTTAGCACAGGACTGCAGTAATCCATCAATGACACTGAGAATACTGGTAAGGAAAAATCCTTCAGTATATAAGTCCTTGTATTTTATCTAGACTGGTGCATAGCTAGAAATTTAAAATACTGTGGCATTTAGCTGTGTTTCCTCTTCAGCCAATGCTACAATATGCTGGAAGCTACACCTGTGCAAGTGTAAGTCTTCTAAAATACAGCAGGGCTTTACACTGAGTCAGAAATTTATCAGGTACCTTCACACAAATTACCCATTCAGTGTCACGTAACTATTGTGTTCTTCTGGTGTTCTATTTAGCATTGGAATGGGCAAACAAGTGCCTTTTAAAATGAAATGACAGCTGGCGCTAGACATGCTGGTTATAACATCTCCCAAACAGCTGTCATCCTGGGCTTTTCAAGGGTCTACTGAGAATTATGTGAAAAGCCTAACAGATTCTGTGGACGATAACAGCTTGTGGGTCAACACTGTTATGTGGAATATTGTGTCAGGATGGGCTGTAACAGCCGAGGACCATGTCAGGTGCTGATGTTGTCAGGAAAGAACAAGAAAGTGGGCACTTTAATTGGCACAGAAGCAGTAAAACTGGACCAATGAGAAGTGGAAAAAAGTTGCCTTTGATTTGAGACAAATCCAGGTTACTTTTATGTCAAGAAGATGGGAGGATCAGAACTTGGCACAAAGAACAGTCCACAGAACCATCCATTGAGTGTCAACAGTACAGGCTGGTGGGGGCACTGTGATGGTGTGGGTGTTTACCTGGCACATTTTAGGGCCCCTGATACCCACTGAAAATGTCTGAATACAGTGGGTGACCATGTTCATCACTTCATGGCTGCAGTTCATCCACACTAGGATTGATTCTTCCATCCAAGTATGGGTAGATAATCCAAAAAAGTGTGGATAATGAGCAAGACACATATTGAACATGACAGTGAGTTTTCACTGCTTCAGTGGCCTGCACAGTCTCAGAATCTCAAACCTGTCAAGCATTTTTGGGACAAGGTGGAAAGGTCACAGCAAGACTTTGCAGCTGCCCAATTTGTAAAATCTGTACCAATGCAATAGTTTTTATACAGTATAACATTTGTGCATCCAACATCTTGTAGAATCCGTGCTCAAGCGAATTCATGCTGAAGCAACATGCTATTAAACAGGTGAAGGGTTGGGACGTAAAGAATACTAGTATGGTAATACATATTCAGAATCCAGAAATTAAGTATCTGTATTAAGTCCAAGTTACATTTTATACTTTTTTGATACTTTTTAAATATTTTAATACTTTTAGAGTGTTTACCCACTAAATAGAAAACACAGAATCTTCAAAAGAAACACCATCAATGCTTGTTTATTTTATGTATAGTATTTTAAAGTCAGCACGACATGTAGCAAACATGCTCGTTAGACAAACTCTAAAGAGGACCTCAACGGCTTCTTTACAAACACTGAAGTTTCTGCTAAAGCCTGAGTAGACTGATAAACCAAAGTGATAATCAGTGATAAACCTCAGTGTTACTGAGCTCTTCTGTTAATAATCTCCTCAGTAGTGAACATGTTTGCATGTGATAAGAGAGGCTCAAGGGCTTGTGGGAGCAGCAGTGAACTGAAGGAGCAACTTAAGTTTTTTTTTCCCATGTGTCTTATCAATATGTATTCTAAATGTATTCTGAATATGTATTGTAATGAAATACATTACTGAATACACTTAGAACAATCATTACACATGTTAAGTATTTTTTTAAAACTCTGGATAAAGTATACCGACTTCTGCCCAATGAACGCTGAAATAGGCTCTAGCTCCCCCCACGACCCAAAAGGATAAGTGTAGATAATGTGTGTGTGTGTGGATACCTAATAAATTGGCAACTCTATGTACACTACATTCTTAAAAAAAACGCTACAGGAGCATATAGGTAGAGATACATTACTGCCACTTAAGACAGTAGCTTGTAAAAGCATTTACTCTATCCAATCTCTGTTATCTATTTTATGGCATTTATTTATTAAGCTGCTGAACAAGATAATCTTTATATTTTGTGTATAAAAATTCTGACTTTAGCAGAGCTTTGTACGCAACGATAAAACACATAATGCTAAAGATAATTGTGTTTTTTCTTCTTTCAAAAATCAGATTAATTGAAGCATTAATGGACAGATTAATCAACTATTACAATAGATAAGCATAATAACTATTGAGTGTACCTGCTCAATTCATCATACCTCAAAGTACTCCCATGAAGTCTTGGCTCGGCCTCCTCCCAGTCTGCTGCGTTCTTTCACTCTCTTGTATGTGACAATGAGGTTGTTCCATTTCCGGCGGATCTTCTCCACAGGCAGCGAGTGGCCAAGGTTCTCCAGCTCACTCTGGACACTCTGGAAAAGACGGGAACGTTCCCTGGAGCCATACACGTCCCAGCATCGATGCATTGCTTCAATGAGGTGCACAATAGCTCGGTGGGTGAACTCAGATGACGTGGACACTGCCTCAGTATAGCCCCGAGCCCCACCAGCCTTCCTTGCTTCCTCCCTGACACCAACTGTCAAAAGTAGATATAGCAGTCATGCAATCACATAATATGGGCCATATAAATGACATTAATATCCATTGTATACAACAATTACAACAGCTACAGTTCATGCAGACACTGCAGGTAATAGTGATTTGTCATTGTGTAACATCAATAATATGCATATGAAATGATTTAGAATTATTACTCTTACCATGGGAGCCCTTGTTGTCTCTAAATACTGGTGACAGAGATACAGCACTGTTTATGCTGATGGGGTCTGTAATCAAAAAGTCAGATAAATTTACTGTTTCTGGACCTAGCTAATATCAGCTACAGCAGTTAGCCTAGTTAGCACAAAAGCTGCGCCAGAGCCGACTACTATCTCTGCCTTCTCGGTCACGTCATTAGCAGCGTGCTCATGTTCGGACACTCCTGTTTCATATTGGTAAAGCAGAACACACTGTCACATTTTACAGTCCTCTTAAAACATACAGTCTGTGTTTCTCTGAATTCTCTGAATGCAGTAATTTTAGTACTCGAATACTGTCACCTCGAACGGTTATCCGAGTACTCGAGTATCCGTGCTCATCTCTAATATCAATCAGGCTCTCTCATTAAAATATTAGGCCACATCTAGACAGTTCTCAGGTCTAATCAGTGATTTTAAGCAGCAATTTAGCATATTTCTGTCTTTTTTATTCAGACTATATATATATATATATATATATATATACACACACATTTTGCCCTTTTTTATTCATATCTATTTCGCCATTTTCAGTATTATATATAAAACCTCATAAAGAGCAATAAAAGAGGATATATTTTTGCTGTAGACATTGCAACTCCACCACCACAGTGAAGAACTCTGAGTAGGTAAGTCTCTCCACCATTTCACATCAAACTGCTTTGAATGACTTTGTTCACGACTTGAAAGGGAACTTCTAAGATTTTTCAAAAATTCGATTATATAATATATAAGTATATTATAATTAAATGGTTGGGATGTAAACAAAGTCATTCAGAGTGATTTGGTGTGAAATGCTCCATTCTAGAGAAAGTTTAATGTCTCTGAAAGCTCCCCCACAAAAAAAGTTACTAGATGAAATGGTTAGATATGTGCTGCCCGATGTCTGAGACAGTGTTGTGTGATAAAGTTTTGACTTACAATGTATGTTTAATCCATTTATTTTTATCCATTCATGGCAGAGGGGAACATGCAGGGTGTTGAGAGGCAAAATATTCCCTAAAGAAAACTATTTGTTCAGATTTATTTTACCATCTTCAACATTACAATTAAAACTTAAGACACATGCAGGTTCACTGGTGGTTTTGGATAGTAAATAAGAGGTCCATATTTGCATTGTAGACATGGTGACCCCTGTTTCTTATCACCACCACTGTAAAGAAATCAGGGTCTGTAAGTTTCTCTACCATTAACCATTTCATTTCAATCCACTCTGAATAAGTATGTTTACATCTCAAGGACTGAATTATTCACAAATTGGTGGCATTCCCCTTTAATTACACAGAAATTTTGAAAAATCAGTGGAATCCCATTTCATATATTATCTCACAGCACTTTGCAACAGAAAGCAACACATGGCATAATAAAAAAGACTATTTCAAAAGATCTAGTTTGGTTTTCACAAAAACAAAAAAAAGAAAGAAAAAAAACTGAGAAGTAACGTGTTTTCGTGACTAAAGATCAGCACTGCACGTCCTGAGGTGACCGCAGGGACACTCACAGAGTAAAACAGGAGTGGGCTCCTTTGCTTGCTCGACCTGATGAGCTGTGAGGACTGAAGACGTGCTTGCAGTCGAGTCGTGTGCAGCTGAGGCGGCATCGCAGGACGGCACAACACTTCCAGACGGCTCGTCTTTCAGCGATGCGTCCATCGTTGCACACCGGCTCAAGTGATGCGATTAAAACAGTCTTCTGCTCGCAGTCAGAGCCGGTTAGTTTCCCCGCTGCGGTGCGGGTTAAAAACTACGCACCGAGCAGCCCCCCGCTCTCTGCGCAGCACCTTCCCAAACTGAGTGGCTCACAGACCCCGGCAGTGAGGTGGTCGACAGCTGCAGCACCAAACACGGCTGTTAGGAGGGTTTGGGCTGTTTTTCTGCTCTGCCCAGCTCGGCTTGAAAACATTCAGGGCTGTATAATAATGGCTGCGCTCCTCTCGCTGGAACTGCGCAACTTTACTGCGCGGGTCGGACACCTGATTGGTCGCCGCTGCGCCGCGTCACACGCAGCCCCTGCGCCTCCGCAGACGCAGTGCGCAGACGCAACCCATCACCCATGATGCTGAGCGAAAGTCCGCGCTTCTTCACAGGCCTATCAGAAGCTGAGCCTCTCTGCTCAACTCTGATGACTGTCTGTATTATTGTAAAGAATATGAAAGAGCAAGACTGCGTTCAATAATACACCAGCCTAACTGTCCTCTGTAGACATATTTACATAGCAAAGCAAAACAAAAACAAACAACAATAACAACAACAAAAATATGTTTATTGAGGTCATGGTGTCCCTGCTGAAAAAAATCATAGAGACCATTAAAAGTTTCTGCTGGTGTCCAATATTCAGTAATGGTATTTTAATAGGTTGCTATCACAGTGTAAAGGATCCTAATGGTTTACCAGGTGTTCTGATTCTAAATGCATTTAAAAGTTTCCTAATAGGAGTTAATGGTGTCTCACAAGAAATTACTGGTTTCTAATGGTAACCATTAAGCTAATTCCCATTAGAACACAAAACCATCAGGCTTTAATCCTGATGGTTCTTTAGCACAACTCCTGACTTGAAAGCTGTAGAAATGGGATGGCTGGGAAAGAATAGAGAAATAAAGAGTCATTTTTAGGCACCATGATATAATATAGAATTACATAATATAATTATTTGTCCAGTACTTATAATGCCTTATAGTATGCCATGCATGTATCTGTCATGATATTATTTAATTATATATTATATTTATCATATTCTGTATAAAAATACATTATATAATTACATAATATATAATAATAATTACACATTTGAAAACACATCTTTCAAGTGTACATCTTAAAGGCTTAAAAAAATAAGCTTAATTCTAAAGGGCTAATATCTTACATTTTTCTTATATTTTGTTCTTTTTTCCCCCATGAATTCCAAGTTTCTGTGATTTATGTACCAGAACAGTCATAGTTCATTTTTACTTGACCATTTTCAACCTTTTTTTATCCCTAAGATCAGGAACGGTCCCAACTTTTCAAAACTCGCAGTCTGATCACAAAAGCTTTTGCGGTTCACAAGATTTATCTCCCATTGTAAAGTGCTATACAAATAAATTTGAATTGAATTGAATGTAGACTATGAAATATCACTGTTTAATGATGAAAGATGATTTAATTTTTTTTGGTTTGAAGCCATTTATTTACAAAGGGATGAATTCCATGAATTCCATACAATCAAAAAATGAAACATTTACATTGAATGGCACTGAAAATAAACATATGTAGCTAGCTATGTTGGTTACACTAGTCATGCATTTTGCAGACCAATCACCAAGCTCAGCTTTTTTGTATTACTTTTGCAAATAATCATCACAACAATATATGTCATTTTTAAAATTTACGATTTGGTTAAATGTGTATATTGTAATGATGTTTTGGTTAAAAATGTCTGCAAACGGCCCCTCTAGCAATATCACCACAAACCACTAGTCGAAAAACACCACCTTAGAATTAAACAGTTAGAATTAACCAGTGTATTTAACACTGAGATATGTGAATGATCCTTTCTCTGATTGGGCGGCCTGTATTGTGCCTCATTAAAAAGCAGTCTGGGATGAATGGGCAGAGCTAAACTGCTGTAGACTGAAGAGGTGGATATATGTTGTACTCATTTAAAGAGGAATTCCACTGATTTTTCAAAATTCCTGCAAGATGTGAACAAAGTCTTTCGGAGTGGTTTGATATGAAATGCTCTGTTCTAGAGAAAGTTGTAAAATCAGAATTGTTCACAGTGGTGTTGAGAGGAACCTCTAAAAGTTACCTCACATGAAAGAGTTACGAATATGCTGCCTGATGTCTGAGACACTGTTTTACAATAGCTTTGAGATAAAGCTTCAGCCTAAGCATATTTTTAAAAATCCATTCATGACAGAGAGATGCATGCAGGGTGTACTATAAGGTATTATAAGTAAACAAAGAAAACTTGATTTTTTTCAGATCATTATTATTTTTTTTTATTATTTTGATTATCAACATTACATATAAAACACAGAAGATACTTGTAGGTGCTGTGGCTATTTTGGATAGTAAATATATTGACTATTTGCACTGTAAACATTGCTTTCCCTGGTTCCTATCACCATCACTGAAGAGAAATTGGAATTGTTAAGTTTCTAATTTAATATTAAACCACTCTGAATGATTTTGTCAATTTATTGAAGTTTTGAAAAATCAGAGGAATTCTGCTTTAAGGACACATTGTTAAGCAAGCTGACAACAGAGTCACTCTGGATGCAAAATGCTGTAAATGTGAAAGTACCTTTGAGTCATGCAGTAGTTGCACTTCCAGTTAAAACGGCAAACAGACCAATAATAAAAGTAACAGCAGTCTGAAAAAAGTCTGCAGAGAGTAATGTCCATCTTAGCCCCCACTTTGTGTCAGTCCAGTTCTAAAATCAAATACCAAGGTAAATTTAGGTGAAATGGGATACCAAGTAAAAAGGAACACACTTAAGTTAGGCAGCTCTAATCCTTTTGCTTTTGTCAATCAATGACAACAAATGTTGCTGCATGTGCATTGAATATGAATTAATGATGTATGACCTGCTTTGCTTTTTCTCTCCAGCGCTTCCACTCAAGAGGAAAGTAAGAGATGAAGGGACAGGTCCCCTTTAAGCAGGTGCAGCATGAATATCAACATCTTTTGGCATAGACAGGTATATATGAACCAATATAAATAAAGCTAATATCAAGTCATGTTGAGTGGTTTTGACGGAGTATTGCCAAAAAGTGTGCCATGTTATCTGAATACAGCCTACATATGGACCACCATCTGGTGAAGCCCAGAGGATAAGTTTCCCTTTTGCGAGTCCAGAGACTTGATTTTAGGGAGTTTCTGTCACTTGTTGTTTTCCGTTTGCTCATGAAGGATCAGGGACCATGTGTCTGTGAGCTTTGGAACAATTTGTGCTGTAGAAAGTGCAAAGCAATTGAAACTGAATTCAATTCAATCAAATACACCAAGCAGTAGCACATACTTTTCTGCTGCTTATTAAGTACAGCATTTGAGATAGTGTGGGACTTTTATACAGGTTATAGTGCCCCAGTTAGTTGTTCCTACCACCTCTAAACTTTGAGCTTTTGATGATAAATATCCTGTACTTTGTTAAAGAGCCCTTATCATTGAAAAACATTTTTTTCCCATGAAATAACAGTTAGATATAATATATGAACATTGTTGAAGTGTCAAAATGTAGCATTCATTCCCCAGTCCATATATGCGATGTCACAATATTAATGCTTTTACATATATCTATCTATGCAGCCTACAGCAGTTTAGCTCCACCCACTCATGCTTAAGTTATAAAGAGTGACTGCTTTTTAATGAAGGAAAATACAAGACAGTCAGTCAGAGCAGAAGACATTTACATACATCAGTCTTAAAGGCACAGTAACAAAATCACCTTGTTTAGGTCGAAGGAACAAAGAAAGAGGAAAATGGTCAATGCAAACTTGAATGATGACTGTTTTGGTATATAAACCCACACAAATATCATAAGTTGACATTAGCGAAAAAAATGCAAGAAAACCTAGGATATGGGCAACTGACACATGCAACTGAAACAGTTTGTATAAGTTTACAACATAAGGTATACTAATCAGGTGTCCTACTGTTAAGACTATTTGCCATCTAGTATCTGTATTTTGTACTGATGCCTTAATCATGACAGTTTAACACTGAGCCACATTCACCATTATCTTCCTAAGGTTTTTCTTAAATTTGAGAAAGGTTCTTAGAAAACATCAACAAAAAACAAAAACAAATTATGTTTTAAATCTAAACAGTCCTAAACGTAAAGCAGAAAATATATGGATTGTTTAAAAAAGAGTATTTGCCATATTCTCAAATTTAGTCCAGATTTATGTCCAGAGATCAGAACTGTTCGGACACTTAGATGTTAGATCTTGACCAGATCTAAATATTTTTCATCTACTGTTTGATGAATACTGTGGTTTTGGACATATTCACACTTCACATTTCGGACATGTTTAGAGTAAAGTGTGAGATTTTGGGCGCAGCTTTTGATTTACAAGGGTGCGAAATATTTAAAACAATATTTATTGTTATAGAGATAAATTGCATTATATTATGTCTTCACATGCGGTTCTAGATGGATATTGTGCTTAAAGAATACTAACTGCATATTTCATTTCAAACAACACATGGAGGAGAGACATGTTATCCACTACACTATACCACCTACGTTCTTTTGCAACTTAGCAAACTGTAGAAAAACAAAGTATTGTGAAAATGTTTTGAAGAATTGTGGTGTAATATTTTTGCCATATTTTCTGCCCTTTTTATAATCTAATCACAAAGGAAGATGTTCCATATGTAACAAGTTCTTGTTGAAATAAGTTACCACCTTATTTTACATCACTTATTTAGAGATCTGGGGCATGCTGCTTTACTATCAGGGGTTATCAGGGTTATCAGATGTGTTTTCAAGCCTGACTTTGAGTACAGCTACATTTCATTTTACAACAGAACTTAACTGACTTAGTCATTCTTTATCATTAACATTAACACAACTGTGAATGTGAGTAATAAACTTTGTTAATCTCTCAACATTTGAATTTGAAACAATGTGTAAAAAATGTCACTGTAAGATTATAGTAAATTACCGGCTACTAGGTACTTTTATAGCAATTTATTGCACTATATCAACAGTAAAATAGCAGCTGTATACACAAGATTACCGCAATGCATCTGTGTTCTGTTGTACACTTATAGTAATTAAAATACAGTAATCTCCTATATTTTTAGGAAACAACTGTAAAGATAATGCTATTCAGTAGCTAATAATTTACTATGCATTTACACCTGATACATCTTCAATTTGACCAGACCAATATATAATATATTCATTAAAAACTGATGATGACATATTCAACACATTTTGTACTGTATATGCAGAGAATATTTCAAATACGCATTTACAAATGTAAATACAAATTTTACAGTGAGTTTTACATTGCTTAAAAATTACACAAACAGTTTTCTGCCAGTATCCCAGTGTTAGGCCATTTGAACAATAAAAAGCATAAAACTTTAAAAGCCTTTAAAACACCAAAACCTGAATCATCAGAGTGAAACATCTTACTAAAACACTTACAGATTTTTAACTCTCAGTCGCTCTTATAGCCTATAATGCTGTGTGGTACAGTTCAACATTGACTTTCTATAATACGCAAGGCAAATATGCTTTGTGTATTACAGTAAATACCTGAAGATGATTTGTTTTGAAATGAAATGATGAAAACAGCATTTTACTGCGAGAAATAGTGTTAAACACTGTGCAGTCCTGGTAATAATTAACAGTGTATGTACTGTCAGCCTTGTTTGTTTTGGCCTTTTGCATCGCTCTTTGCTCTAAATTGTTGTTTTAAATCTTTTAATTGTAAGATGGGGATTTTTGTTTGTGTTTCCTGAGTATAAATAAAAGTAAGACTGAATGAATGATTAAATGAATAAATGAATGAATATTTTTCATGGAAAATGGGCTGTTGATGCTCGACTGGAGGATGCTGTACAAAAAAGAGAGGTAGCACGGCACTGTAATGATGAAAATACTAATGAAGTTAAAAAGGTAATGAGAAGAAGCAGTTTTACGACATTGTGATAGCTTACACACTGTCACTTCCAAACTGTTCCAAACTCCAAACAGTTATTGATTTTCAGGAGAAAAAAGGCAAAAGTGGCATTTTTTTCTTTGAATGGGCTGATGACCAGGCTTAATACACCTTTTAAGGGGAACTCCACCAATTTTTCCAAATTCCATAATTAAATGATCACTAAGTCATTAAGAGTGGGTAGATGTGAAATGCTGTTCTAGAGAAACAGAACTGTTCACAGTGGCGGTGATAGAAACTAAACATCTGAAGAACTTAATGCCTCTAAGAGCTCCCTCATTGAAAGTTTTTACATGAAATGGTTATGAATATGCATTTGATGCCTGATGCCTTGCTTTACAATAGTTTTGAGAAAAGATTTTGGCCTAAAACACATAGTTTTTAAAATCCATTCACAGTACAGAGGTTGATGCAGGGTGTTATAAGGCAAATTAGTCCCCAAAGAAAACTTTAAATCCACTTTACTATTATTTTTACCAGGATAAACATTACATACAGAAACTCAGAAGACACATGTAGATTCACTGGTGGTTTTGGATAGTAAATAAAATGGCTATATTTGTGTTCTAGACATTGTGACCCCTTGTTTTGCTAGGAACTCACTAAACTGTGCTGGACTCCTTGCTGAAGCTCACCTACACACTGAAAAAGATCGTTCTTCAAGTGTTCTTTAGTAAAGGCAATGGTTCTGTTCGGAATCATGAGTTCTATGTAGAACCATTTCATGCATAAAGGGTTCTTTTCATGGTAAAATGGTTCTTCAGATTAACGGAGAATGTATTGTATATGGTTCTACATAGGACCAAAAAATGTCCTGCTATTGTTACAATGTCAAGCTTGTAATATCAGAAGAACCCTTTTGGTGGTATATACAATTTTCAAAAGGGTCTATATAGAACCATACACAGCACATTCTCCATTAATCTGAAGAACAATTACACCATGCAAAAAACATTTAAGCATGAAATTGTTCTATATAGAACCATTGCCTTTACTAAAGAACCCTTTCTGAGTGTGGAATCTACTGATTTCATGCATCAACAGAGTTGACTAACTTCTCGTGCATTGCTTATAAACTTCCCCCTCCCTTATAGAGAAGCGGAGAATGAAAGCAGTCACATCAGAGGAAAACGAAACTTAAGATTAGCTTATAAAGGACGTGCTGCCAGCAGCTTGTTCGTGATTTCTGTTTCCTCTGTGGATATCGACGGATTACTCACTGTCTCTGCGATAGCCTGTAGTAGCACAGTTATAATGCGATAGGCTTCTAATCGAGGCGCGATAATGAGGACATTACATGCCTTTTAATACGTGGCCGAGCGATTTAATCGTGTCTTAGTTCAGTAAGCTGCTGATAGTGGTCCGGGGCTTCATGATGAAATGCCTCGAATGTGGCCACATCTTGAACGAGTCCTTCAAGTTCTGCCCCGAGTGTGGAACTCGGTTGAATGCACAGCTGAGTGAGTCTGGTGAGTGAATATTTTTCATTGCCTTGTTTCGTCATGGCACGGTGTTTCCTCCATAGACTGAAAGCCTGTAGCTGATCAGGCGCTGTACGCTGTGGGGTTTACCATGTTATTCTTAATAAAGGGAATATTTCTACACAGAAATCTGATATATGGCCATAAATGTACATATGTCATAAAGGGTCAGGCATATATTTCAAAATATATATACATATATAGTATGTACATATATATACAAGTATCAAATATTTGACATGTATGCATAACATATTCAAAATGACATACACCCCCAACATACACGCAATAAAAATACCCTGTACTGTATAACATGAAGCTAACATATTAGTAATATGCCATCCATATATGATTAATGCTTTCTGTCATATATTGTTAAAAAATGTGTTACACATATGTGTTCATATATGTTGATATATGACTCATATTCGAAATAAGTTGACATATACGTCACATGTATGTCCATATGTAACATATAATTTGCATATATATATATATATATATATATATATATATATATATATATATAGGAAATCCATATATGCTAATAAATGTTATATATTTAAAATCCACATATTGCCGTATGTCAGATTTCCCCCTGGGTACATGCTCCAGGCCTATATTCATGTGAACATGTATAAGAGAGAAGTGTACGTTCTCTGTTGTTTGTGTAATGTTATTACTAGAAAGCACAATTCCTAGAAAGTCCATAAGTAATCCTATATCTCATTTTTTTTCCTCACGTTGTGGATGCTAACATAACTGAGTACTAATAAAATCCAAAACACCAAACAGGATGGTAGTCAGCAATACCACAGGCACTGAAATCATGAGGAAATGTTTTCTTGGCAGATGGAAAGTCCCCAGCGAGACCAAGCTATCACGGAAAAGGAGAGCAAAAGCCACCAGATCCACTCACCACTAGAGGCTCATGTTTAGAGCAGTCCACAGAGTCGGCAGAAGACAATGTGAAGAAAAAGGTAAACACTTTAAAAGGCATTGTATCTGGGTCCTAGCTAAAAACTCCATGAGGACGTTCACCGGCAACGCTAAAGGCTATAAAGCCTTTAAAGCCCTCTTATACCTTAGTCATTCCCACTGTATCATTTCATTAAGAAAACAAAGACAACCATCATAGGTTATCAGCTGTCAAACGTGTTTTGTGTTTTGGCAGTCGTTCAGCAGTAGATCAGCCATGTTGTCTCACCTGCAACTGTCATTATGAATGATAATTATGAATCAGAGTGTCTCCGCAGTCCATAAGAGGTCTCTGGAGTGTCACAGCTGGTCGTGCCAAATTGTGCAAATAAATGTTTTTGATTATGGTAGAAAATAGATGGCTTTGATTTTTTGTATAATTTCATGAATAGAAAAAGAAGATCAGCACATCTGCGGATTTCCTGTCGCTCTCACCTCCTAAGGTGATTTCAAATCTGCCTCAAGAAAGTATGTGGACAGGGGCAGTAAAATGATTAAAATTAAGGATGCACAATAATGTTGGAGTTATATCGGTGTCAGTAAATAATTACTTTTAAAAAATCAGACACATGTTAGGATTTGACAAACATCTCAGAGTGGTATGTGATAATACACTGTTTTGTGCTCCGAAACACAAGAAGGTTTGGTGGCACTGGGCTACTGCACTAAAATTGAAACAGAAATAAATGTTACATTCCTTTTTAATCCAAGTGTATCTAATCCCAATTAGATACTTAAAAAAGGTTACATATCAGCAAATATGTACATGAAAAATGTGGCATATCAGCATCAACCCAAAGTTCTGATGTCAGTGCCTCCTTATTAAAATAATTAATCATGATTAATTGCTTTAGTTTATGTAATAACACGATTTTGCTCAAATTTGACCTCAAAGATTTTTACATTTCAAAAGCAGTCATTTTTTGTTTTAGTTGTATATGTGGACAGAAATTTATAAGAATATATTTATTGCATCCATAATTCAAAACTAACCTGAATATAACATCACATGAAAGCGGTTTCCAATGGCAGCAGGCCTATAAGAGTAACAGCGGCTCTCCTCCTCCACGAATGTAGCCTCTCACTCTCATACCTTTATGTCATGTATTGGGGGGAGCTGTAGCTTTCCACTTTGCTGTTGTTTTTGTTAGTTTGCTGCTTGTTGATTATCTATAATATCCAAGCACTGTCCAGCACAGTATACCTGCACTGCTAGCATTGCTGATGTTACTTATATTGCTGGAATCAGCTGTGTGTTTTGCTTGACTTACTTCGGTGATAAACAAGTTCACCACAGTAGTAGCTGGTAATAACTTTTATTTTATCAGGAAAGCATTCAATGGAACTTCTTGCCATTTAAAAGCTGTATTTTAATGAGGGAGCTGTAGTCATGGAATCATAACAACCGTGCTTCAGCAGCTGGGCTTCAGACTGGAACTATGGATGATAATCACATAAATGTGTTAACTTTGACTAATTTTGACATTTGTCTAAATATTTCTTGGGGCTGCTTAAATCCTGATGTCTTACCTTATAACAGATTGACCCAAATCTAGAGGAAGATGCCAATGCTGGGACGACTGACAATGAGAGCTCTGCTATGGATGTGGATGCACCACAAGATGGTGCCAGTTTGTCTTCTCAAACTGCAAATGAAGAAATTTCTACTGTGCCTATTGATAAAGCTTCCCAAAGCACACAGTCTTCATCTCCTACACATGGCCATATCATGTCCTTTTTCCAGTCTCAGTCCAGTGGCTCAGCAGAGCTACCAGGGAATGAGTCTAAGAACTTGTCGTCCAGATGTTTGGAGAGCGGGTGCTCTAGCCAGCTGCCTGCAGAATCACCCTGCTTGAAGTCTTCTTCTGAAGGATTCAGACAGAACCCTGCAAAACCCAGCTCCCTCAAGTCCCAGCCCTCTGAAGAGAATGTTGAGAAGGACATGGACAGTAGCCCTTCAGAGCCAGAACATATGGAACATATGCCCAGTCTGAACACAGACTCTGTTCCTGCCAATTCATCATCTACCAGACCAAACAATGATTTTCAATCTGTGCAAAGTGCTCCTTCAGACTCTCCAGCTCCATTTTTGATGGACCAAAATGAAGTCAAGTCACCTCCTAGTGCAACTGAAGCATTGAAGGAGGAGACCAATAGTCAGATACAGTCTTCCTCATCTGGCACCATGCCTGCACCAGGTCATTGTAACAATCAAGAAGAACCTGACCTTAAAGGCAAATCTCATGAAGAGCTTGTGAATACCACACAGACTGGAAAGCTGGACCCAGAATCTTCAGTCCCACCACCGCCTTCTGTTAATCAGACCACTGAAAGCACCACAGAGCCTACAGATACATTGCAGTGTACAGAAGGCAAAGGTGAAAAACAGAATTCTCCTTACAAGAAAATGTTTGGACCATACTCTCCTGAGGTGAGGTCATTCGAAACATTAACGTTTCACATTCTCTAGTAACTTGATTAGCTGATTGCTGATGACTGTTTGCTGATTTTTGTTCTCCACCCTTCCCAGGAACCCCAGGAACTACCTGCAAAACCCAAAGTGGATCATGTTGAGAACAAACAGCAAACCAAACACAAAGAGGTCCCAAATGCAAATAAAGAAAAAAAGGACCAAAAGAACACCAGAGAGAGCTCAGAAACCCTTAAACAAGCCTCAAGCACAGAGAAGCCTGAGAGAAAAAGTGCTTCTTCAGACCAAAATGATGAGGCGCGTTTTCAGCAAAGGTCATCAAAAGAGAAAAAGGACAGGCAGAACCAGTATGTTTAACCTGAAAATGTTTGACTTGACTTTAACTTCATCTCTCACTTTGTTTCTCAATCCTGCTCTTGGGACCCACAACCCTACACAGTTTTAAGCACTCTATGCCCCAGCACACCTCCACACCTTATTAAGGGCTTCATAGTCAGTTGTGTTGAGGCAGGCAAAAGTTGAAACTGGTCAGGGCAGGAGTGCTCATAGGTGGAGGACTAAGAAACACTGCCTTAGCGCCACTGAAGTAGAGTTTGCTTTTAAATAACACAATCAGCTGCTTATTTAATCAATTGTCTTATCACCTGTTATCACATTTTTGCTAAGAGATTTTTTTGTTCAATATATTTTAGGACTTCAAACCCTCAGCATGAGACCAAAGACATCACTGTTTTCTTCCATGCCATCTTATCCAAAGACTTTAAATTAGACCCATCAAAAGACTTTGTAACCTTAAGGTCAGGAAGCATAATGGGGAACTGGAATCAAGATATTTTGAAAATGGAAATCACAAGGTAAGACATTTTAAACAGCAATCTGAATGTCTATTTTTGAAAAAGCTGTGTGAGGAGGTAATTATCAGTAAGGACCTATATATATTGTGTTTTCTTCCATTACATTTTGTTAGCAAGTGATTGATATTGATACAGAGTTTCTAGACTTATCACACATCACTACAGCCATCTGTCAATTCATGCTCTTTTGACTGTTCACTTATTCTCTTTTCTGCAGAGACTTAGAACATGATGGATTTATTGTGCATGGGAAACTTGAGATCACCAAAAAGAATGTTGGGAAGCCTATTCCTTATAAATACGTTGTTTACAAACTAGGCAAAAACACACACCACTGGGAATATGAACACATCTACAAAGACGATGCGAAGCACTATGTTAATCGATGTCTTTTCATTCGAGAGAATCTTTTGACACAACATGGTAATGAAACAGTTATTATTTTTAAAATAAATTTATTTTAAAGCAGTGTTGCTAAGCCTCTTAAAATGATATTTTAAATTCTCACTTTGTCACATTAAATTATTCAGTTCAGTTGCCAATCAAACAAACTGACACACAAATAATGAGAAAATGGATGTGTTCACTTTAATATTTTTTGTGTAATCCAGGTGAATGGCACCAGTATGATGACATAATATGTGCAAAGCCTTCAGAGGACATGTTTGGCAAAGTTAGAAACTTGTTCTGGCATGGAAAGCCCGATTCCCAATTTAGTGAAAGGAAGAAACATAGCAGGATACGTGATGTTGGAAACGATCTATGACATCCTCCATGAGTGGAGTAATGTAAATGTGAGAAACTTCTTTGTTCAGCTTGAGCAGTTCTTCACAACATATTCAAATCCCTGTGTATATGAAGAGAGAGCAAAACAATGGACCGCTTTGCAATATGGGAAAGCAGAGGTATAGTATTCTACATAAAAAACATTTTTTTGATTTTTAAAATGTTTTGATAAATGCTTTGGTTGTGCTAAACTCCACTCCACTGTTTATCTCCATCTTAGGTGAAAGACCTTCTCAAAGCTTTCATACAAAACAAGATTTCTCAGTTTCAAATAAACAGTCATGTCTTCAGTTTTGATCAGCTGAGAGCAGCTGTCATTTTGCTGCTGGTTTGCAACAAATATGAGTTTAAGTTGGATCAGTCTGTGATTCACAAAGTTGGCTGGATGCTTTGTCTTCCTAAACTGTCAAAGGAAGAATTTTGTCTATGCTGGACTATGTTTTTACAGCCATTACAAGAGGAATGGTATGAATTTGCATTCAGTATAATAATAATATTTGATCAGTTGTAGTTTGTTATAGATAAATATGTAAACATTTTTATAATATACCGATGAGCCAAAATATTATGATCACTCACAGATGAAGTGAATAATGTTGATTATTTCATAACAACTGTGCATGTCAGGGTATAGGATACATTAGACTGTAGGCGAACAGTTGGTTCTTGTAGTCATCGTGTTGGATGTAGGGAAAATGGACATGAGACATGAAGACCTGAGCAACTTTGACAAGGGCCAAATCATTATGGCCAGATGGCTGGGTCGAAGCATGTCCAAAAGGCTTGAGAGGTTCTTCTTGTGAGCAGTGTTGAGTTCCGATAGTGGTTTTAGGAGGGACAAACCATGAACTGGTGACAGGGTGATTGATGCCCAAGGGTCATCGATGCATAAGAGCAACAAAGGCTGTACCGGTCTGAACCAACAGAAGGGCTGCTGTGGCATAAGTCACATAATTTTTTATGATGGTTACAAGAGGAATGTGTCACAACACACAGTGCATCACATCCTGCTTCATATGGGGCTGCGTAGCCGCAGACTGGTCAGAGTGCCCATGCTAAGCCCTGTCCACTGTGAAAAGTGCCCACAATGAGCATGCACATGTTGGAAATAGATCTTGCAGAAATGAAAGATGGCTGAGTCTCGTTTTCTTACATCACATGTCACCAAGATGCACTGTGGAAAGAAGATAAACTGGTGGAGGGAGTGTGATGCTCTGTTCTGCTGGTAAACCATGTGCCATCTGAACATTGTTGTGGACCAGGTACACTCCTTTATGGTAGTGGTTTTCCCTGATGACAGTGGCCTTTTTCAGCAGGAATTTGTGCCCCGCCATACTGCACAAATTGTTGGGGAATGCTTTGAGTAACATGACGAACATGACATTCAAGGTGTTGCACTGGCCTCCAAATTGCCCAGATCTCAGTCTGATCAAGCATGTGTGGGATGTGCTGGAACAACGATCCACAATGGCTCCACATTGCAACTTAGAGGATCTGCTTATTTCTTGGTTCACATACCACAGGGCACCTAATCTTGTAGAGTCCATTCCTTGGCAGGTCATACCTGTTTTGGGGACATGTGAAAGATCAACAGTGTGTTAGGCAGGTGGTCATAGTGTTTTGGCTCATCAATGAACAGTAAGCATGTTGTCATATTGTCCTGTCAGGTACATTTTTTTGTTTTTTTGAATTGGTGTTGCTCATAAATTTTATTTCCACAGTGTTGCACAAGCAGTCAGAACATTCTGTCAGATGGCAGTTAACTGCAGAGCAATCCACTGGATCTTAATCATTCCTTTGCTGCATTTATTGGAGGGAGACATTAAACCTTTTGAGCCAAATCGACTCTCCCCTGGACAAGACTGTAATATCTGGTCAGGGCTTAAAGGATTCAAAATGAATGATGCCCATACAGACTCTCAACACACAAGGTAATTGTGTTTCGTTTGTCAAATCAGAACTGCATTGTAGATGTTTTATCGACATTTACATTTTTAAACTGATGGAAATTTCTTTATATTTCTGAATAATATGGTTCATGTTATTCTTTAATTTTCTTATTACAATTATTTGTTACATTAATGTCTTTTAATCTTATTTACAGGGGACTGATAAAAGTCATGGACGCCCATAAACACTTGCTTGACATAGATCAACTGCTTGCTCGCTCATGGATGTGTGCGTTGGGTTTGAAAAACCTATTTGAATATACAGCTATGATCCCTGTGGATACCTCAGATGTTCTCATCATGCTCAGTTTCAGACTTGATGGCAGAGTGTCAGCTCTGGATAATGAGGTGAGCTGAATCTTAGACTGAAGTTACTCAGTCTGTTGTACATTGCCTTTTATAAGTATTAGGACAGAGATGTCAAAATGAGCCAAATTATCTTTGCTCTACAGAGGAAATAATCAGTTTTCATTAACACAGAAATCATAAATGACCAAGTTGAGTGACAGAAGCAACAGAAAAATGAGCAGAGACCTAGAATGTGTCTTTGTAATTGCCTACACCGTCCACAGTACAGATTAAATCTGTTGTTCAGAGAAGACATTTAAAGCAGAATTTTAAATTGTCACTGCAACATGCCATTTGCTCCTACTACACTCTCAGAAACTGTCACTGGGGCAGCACCCCTCTTGTCACTGTGGTGGTACCCTCAAGGGAAGATCTCAGTACCTTTAGTCAGGGAACATAATTGTACCATAATCCATTGAAATGATGTTTTCTAAGTTGTATTGACTCCACACACCCCGTCTCGTCTCCAGGCTTTTTATTTCATTGTTCTGTTTTAAAACATTCGGTTATGAAAAGGTACAAATATGTACTTTTCACCTGGAAAAACTTATTTAAGATTCGCAATTAGACCTTAAAACCACTGTTGTAACTTTGAGGGAACATTTACATTGTTTGTACCTTGATATACGAAAAATGGACCTTCACAGTACCTTTATTTCTAACAGTGTACTCCATTCAAAAATAAAGAAAGAATGAATTAAGTGAGACAATAAACCTCTTCTAAAGTAATGGGAAGGTTAAATTTCAGTAATTTTAAAAATGAATAATTCAGTGGTTAAGATATAAATGAAGTAGTTCAGAGGTCGATGTAAAAGTGTGATGTTTGTTGTAGAAAAACGTACTGACTCTGATTTCTGAGTGATCGTGATAGGAGCGGAGAGAGGAGATTTAAAACACAAACATTGCTGTTTTATTTACTGTCTAAAACCACCAGTGAATCTACATGTGTCTTCTGAGTTTTTATATGCAGTTGTAAATGTAATTTTGATAAATACAAAGTAGTCAGTAAAACTGAATAAAATGTCTTCTTTGGGGACTATTTTGCCTTTCAATTCCTTGTATGTACATCTCCTCCATGAATGTCTAAAATAATATGTTTCAGGCCAAAAAACTTCTCAAAATTATCATAAAAATGTTTTAGCCATCAAGCAGTGTATTTATAAATATTTAATAGAATAACTTTCTGTGAGGGAGCTTTCAGAGTGATCAGACTCCTCAGACATCTGTTTCCTATCACCATTCGATTCACTTTTCTGCTGAAAGTGTACAGGGAAAATTTTTAAGAGTTTGAACTGCCCCAGTGCTTGTGGGGCATACAAATAAAACATGGAAAATTATTTGAATGGCGTAAGTAACTGCCCTGCGATGGACTGGCGACCTGTCCGGGGTGTATCCTGCCTTCCACCCAGTGACAGCTGGGATGGGCTCCAGCTCCCCCCGCGACCCAGAACGATAAGCAGTTTAGAAGATATGTGTGTGTGTGTGTGTGTGTGTTTGTGTGTGTGTGGTGTAAGTAACCGCTCTGTGTATCTCACAGCAGTTGAAGCTGTTATTTTCACATCTCAGAAGGAAGATAAAAGAACAGCACTCCAGGTATATGAAGATAATTTTCCAAAATAAACAATGAGTTGCATGCAATAATCTATAAAGTCTTGACAAATCCTGCCTGACTTCAGTAGTGCCGTTATATTGTGGAATTTCTCTTTAGAATGGAGTGAAGTGAATCTGTTATTATGTGCATTACCAATATTATTTATTCACTAGCAGAAAATGACATACAGTGAGCATTTAATGTTTTTTAGGTTTACAGATACTGAATATGCTGAACTCTGCCTGAAAAAGGGTGTCCACCTTTTGGGCACAATCTGCAAAAATTACAAAGAACCCTGCCGATACGAAGTTCCTCTGGAGTGCTTGAAACTTATTACTGAGATTATACAAGGTGTCAGTGAAAAGGTAATCAGATTTCTTCTTAACAAAAGTCTGACATCTGTTTCTTTTAAAAGTTAACAAACTGAAGAAGTACCAAGCTAAGTTGTTGTCTTTATTTGGATTGTAAATTACCTCTAGCCTCCCTACTGCAACAGCTTTTATCGTGTGGATGAAAATACTGCTTAGGGCTCTTTTGCTTTTCTTTGATTGTAATCTCATAGCAGGCCCCCTTAGCCTTCTTATGCTCTCACAACCAACTTCTCAAAGGTTGTAGACATTTTCTGGCACTTAGGCTCCAAAATATCTTTGGACAAACCATGCTGTAAAACATACAGTTATTATGCCAGGCTTCTGTCTGTTTTATGCTTTGGAATTGTCATTTCAGGAATCACAGGAGGCCCAGAAAAACACGAAAACAGACATGTTGTCAGAGATAAAAAGAATTGTAAGAGAATGGCATCTAAAGACCTTTAGCAATAGCTTACTGAAAAGCTCACACAGCTATACCAGTTTCACAAGCATTCATGAGATGGAGGTACGCCATTTATGAGCAAGTGTATACATCTTTTTAAATGTTAACAAATGGAGTATGTAACTAATCTAATTTGCAACAAAACTATTTCTAGGTATGGAGCAAGCTGATAGAAATGCCTTTTGCTAACAAGAAGTTCAGTGCATCATGGAGGGAAACGTTCTTAAGCCAGTTTGAAGGAAAACTAAAGCAGGTAAGAAACATGCAGAGTGTGATTTCCAAGACCCATCCTTAAGCCTAATACTATACTAAAAAAGTTTTTTTTAAGACACGACCTAATCCATGTCTGGGAAACTGCTGCTGTGTGTCTTACAGTGTTTACGGAAATGTACAATGATTCAGAATTGTACATTTCTGTAAACAATGTAAGACACATAGCAGCAGTTTTCTAGACAAAAATTATCTTAGAAGCATAATTGTCTTAGAAATTTAAAAAAAAATCTATAACAACTGTACTCCAAAATCCTAAGTAATATGCAGTAAATCTCATCCATTGTCATTAGGAAAAAGCAGTGCATCAGATTGAAATCTACTGCAATGAGGTAGAGAACGTGAACATTAAGTTCCCAGCTTTGTCCTCCTGTATTGAAAACTGCGCATTAGAGGCTGTCCACGCCGTTTGTCAGGTATTTTGCATTTTTATGTGATGTGCATACTTTAACATGGTAATCGTATTACCACATTAATCCCAGAAATTCCCTCTGGGATCAGTAAAGTGATCTGTCTGTCTGTCTGTCTGTCTATCTATCTATCTATCTATCTATCTATTTATCTATCCACTCAACCATCCATTCATCCTTCTCAGATGAACATTTCCTTTTACATGTATGATCAGTTTCAGTTTTGATTTCACCAAACAGGGCGGCTCTGAGAATACTTTATTTGAAAAGCTGAAGAAACATGACTTGAGCAAATTTGGGAAGCTGATGTCTGCAATTGTACTCAAAGCTTGGCCTAAGAGGAATGATGGAGAATATCAAGATGGGGAGGAGCTGGTAGTAAAACATCTCCTGACATGGACCACAGCAAAACAAATCTTTCAGCTGCAAGGTGTGAATTGCTATAATAATGTTTTGTGCTTCTGGGCTAATTTACCTCTTATTTTGTCTTCATTTCGGCATTTAAAATGATGTTTCCCACAGGTTCAAATGGGAAACTGATTGATCAACTCTCAGATGAAGCCAGGGAGCAGATGGGTGTGGCCAGTTCTGCATTCACCTCTGTTGTGGAAAAGTTTATCCATGGAAACATTACAATAAAGATCCTGAATCAGATCCTGGAAAGAGAAGATGCATTTACTGAGCTTCTGAAAATTGGTAATCACTTAAACTTACCAGCAATTAATGCCTGTTTTGATCTAACTTAATATATGCACTCACTAGTTGCTTTATTAGGTGCACCTGCTTTCTTTGTCAGTGTTATCTGGCCTGCTTACTTGCAGTTTGTAGGCCTGCAATTACAAATTGTAGTCCATCTGTCCATACATAATTTGTTACGCTTTTTTAACTCCGTTCATCAATGGTCAGGACCCCCACATGAACACCACAGAGCAAGTATTATCTGGGTGATGGATCTATTCTCAGTACTGCAGTGGGAATGCTGTGTAGTTTCTGTTAGTCATCGTTTAGTCCTTCTTCAGTGGTCAGTTTCTGACCACAGGATGCTCTTGGCTGGATATCTTTGGTTTGAGAACTATTCTCAGTCCTGCTGTGATGAGAATGGTCCACCACCCAAATAATACCTGCTCTGTGGGGGTCCTGACCATTGATGAATAGCGTTATGAAAGACTATCAAATCATGCAGACAAACAGATGAACTACATATTGTAAATGTTGAGCTACAAAGTGCTTGTTTATGGCAGGTGAAGCTGATACAATGGACAGTAAGTGTAGATACAAGGAGGTAGTTTTATGGTTATGGTTGATGGGTGTATAGAAGTGCTTGGGGTGATATCATCTATACCAGCATACCAGTATAGATGTCTGTACCAATCTTCATGTTTTGCTTTGTCAATACATGATAGTATAATCATTAAAAAGTTCATGTGAATACAAAGTGGCCAGTGAATGTATATCGAATATTCTAAAATATTAATTTCTTATACACATACCTTCAGATGGTTTGTGTGATGATAGCCGATGCAAACCTGGCAGAGCTGTGAAAACTCTGCTAAGAAGAAGGAAGGACGAAGTTGAGAATGTCTACCATGAAAAAGAGATGGTTGAATGCCTCCTCACTGTATGCCAGAGGCTCCAAAAGCACATCACAGGTAGTTTATTTATTTATTTTTCTGTGGTAGTACTGGGTGATATAGCTGTGCAGCATACCGGTCAAAATTCTACTAAAGGTATTTCATAACCTATGCACTGGTATAGAACGAAGAAGATTGTGTATATATAGCGCGAAACCCACTAAGATTAGTGCATTCAGCTGAGTGGGTAATGGCCCGTTTAGCTAAATGGAGTCAGGAATGTTTTCAATAGAAAACAATTATGGCACATTTCAATAGAAAAAATTGGCAATCCACATGCCTGAGTTTTATTTATATATTGTTCAGTTCTATCTTAATTATTTTGCACAATAAAAATATTTTAAATTTACTTCAGTTGTCAAATATAGTTCTTATTATACGTGAGGAAGGAATAATAAGCTGCTGTTAATCGGAAATAAGTTTACTTAAGCATCTAAAATGGTTTTATTTGAAAAAATATCCATATAAATACTCTATGGTGCAAAATTTTGGTTATACCATGATATAAGTTTTTGGCCATACCGCCCACTGCTACATTGTGGTATATCTGTAACACACAGAGCATCCAGTGTTATGAATTTAATTAAACTAAATATGATGTGCAGATTTATTGCTGCATTTAGAGAACTATAAATGGCTCACCTACTATGAACTGTTATAATTTGTCATTTAGCTTACGATCACATTCTTCTTTTCTGTGAGTTATAATGAACTATAAAAAAATTTACAGTTGATTTTGTGGACCTTGAAAAGAAACGCCAAGTTATCGTGGAGCAGATGTCTCTGGATGATTTCATGGAAGTTCATCAGCTTGATGAAAACACTTCAGAAGTGACAGGAGTTGTCACATATTTTAATCTCTGTGATATTACGAGAAAGATGGCAAAGAGACTACATGCTTTAAAGGACAGCTATATTTTTACCGTGTGCTGGGAGAACCAAGCCAAAAGACTCTCATACATCAAGCAAGATGACGATGAAACTGAGCCACTGTTGGTGGGGGATGCTGAGTCATACTCACTGGAGCGCATTTACCAAGAAATATTCGAGCCTTGCTACAGTCAGTATGAAAGAATCTACACAAGTTTGAGAAACGAAACTATCACGTTCCAGGAGATCGACAGTGTCTTTGAGGACTACAAGGGCAAATATGAGGAATTCAGAAGAGAACTGGAGATCATGTGCAAAATAAATCCTAAGGATGATGGACGGTGGATTAAGAGAAGAGTCCGGCAAATACAACAGTACCATGATCTGCACTTCGCAGTAGAATCAGCTAGAGTGATCATGGATGTCAGGGAGGATCTGTGCCTTGAAGGAAATTTCCAGATCTTGGACAGACTGCTTGAATTTGTAAGTCATCAAAATGAGTGCCTTATATGTAATGTCTACCACAAGTTAAATAATGAATATGAGCTCAATGTGCAGGCTTTTAAGCTTTAATTGAAGGCTATTTACATCCAAATCGGGTGAACATTGTATGACTTACCATTAACCATTTTCATTCACAGCCCCCACCACCCCTGGTTTTTATTGGATAAACTAACAATAATCATAAAGTCATTCTTCCCAGGTGATACTCTGCTAGGCCTTTACTGCGGCTGTGATCAGCTTGTTCTTGAGGCATTTTACCTTCAGTTTAGCCTTCAGTAAGTGAAATGCTTGCGTGATTGGATTGAAGTCAGGTGACTGCCTTGGACATTGCAGAACATTCTGCTTCTTTGCCTTAAAAAGTCTTAGGTTGCTTCAAGTATGAAGTATGTTTTGAGTCATTGTCCATTTGCCCTGTGATGTGCTGTCTAATGAGTTTTGAAGCATTTGAATCTAGGCAGATGTAATGTAGCCCTATAAGCTCCAAAAAAGTCAGCACTCACATCATCAATAAGTACAAGGGAATCAGTTCCATTCCATTTTCAGCCACACAGGCCCACACCATAACCTCATGATTTGTTATATTAAGCTTAATGATGGCCTGCTTCACTGGCACTGAAGCGCTTTGAATTTCATATTGAGAATTAAAAGCAACAGATTCCAAATGCACATGCCACACTTGAAATCAAATCTAGACCTTTTATTGCATACTGAGGAAATCGCACACACCTGGCCACAGAAAAGCTGCACAGCCAATTGTCCAATTACTTTTCAGCCCCTTAAAATGGGAGCTATGTATGAAAATGCTTGTAGTTCCTATACCATTCACTCGATTTGTATGTAAATACACTTCAGTCAAAGCTGAACTTTAAATTAAAGTCTGCACTTTGAGCTCACATTCTTTATTATTGGTTTTTATTCACATTCATTTTTATGGCTGCCAACAAGTGGAGTCAGCAACATTATCTCAGTGTATATGTATCTTCTTCAGTCCTGTTGAGCAGCCTTTTAGGGTTCTTCGCATGAAGGCCACTGCACAATAGCATCATGCAGCATCCAAAAATTCCATTGTTTTTAATGAAGGTGTTGATTTGGTGTTGATGTGCAGCCGTCCTCAGTAACTCTGAGTACTGTTCAAATTCCATACAAGCCACACTGCGCATTTTGCAATTACAGCATTAAATTAAACCCAGAACCAGACCTCAAAAGATATAACAGATCACATGTGGAAGTCTTTAAAATAAACAAACACTAATCCCCTGAGAGGAAACCCTGCTATGAGTAGGTGTGTCTAAACTCTTGATTGGTAGTGTAAATGCAATATAATATCATTGTTAGTAAATCTTGATCATTTCCATTTAGAGATGTAAGAGAAAGATTTAACTGCCAAAATATCAACTGTATTTCAGAGTACAGCTGACTTTAAGGAGGAGAGCCTAGATCGTATTGATGAAAACTTGATAAATGCCAAAGAGGTCCTGGCAGACATAACAGAGGCTCGCAGACTGTGTCTTCAGGAGCTCAGCCATAGGAGGAACTTTGTTAAGTGGGTTAAAGAGGCACTGAAAGGTGAGATCTTGATATTCTCCTAGACAAGCTATTATGTCTAGTTTAAGTGAGTTTTCTGATATTTCATGTTAAAATAATGATAAAGAACCAAGACCTGTCTTATCCAAATAAGTTCCCTACCCCCTCTACTCGTCCTTCAGCAAAAATGCTTAGCTAGCTCAGAGATCCTCCATAATACAGTGTTTCACGTCTCGGTATGTAAGAAAAGGTGCTTTCCAACACGTCTCACTGACTTTTGACATTTTTAGGCTTCAGTGCAGCAACCAAATTTCTGATGTTCTCTCAGTATCACACAGAATTTTTCATAGCCAAACAATTCTACCTTTCATAGTTTGTAGTTAAATATTTTTGATGCAGTTTGACAAGCACTCATGACTAATTTTTATAACCCTGTGATTTTTATAGAGATCAGTCAGCTCAAAGTGTTTGTTGACCTTGCTACAATCTCTGCTGGGGAGAATGCTATGGATGTCGATCGTGTGGCCTGTTTCCATGATGCTGTACTGGGATACTCTTCAATGCTTTATGGGCTAAGCATAGATTCTGACTTTGCTGCATTTAAGGGAGCTCTGCAAAAACTGTGGCAAGCCCTGGAAAATGACAGCAACATAACAAAAAAGCTGGTATGATATAACTGTATGTCTGTCTGGAAAAAAGATGTTGAACTTTATTTTTTAGCAACACTGACTTTTTTTCAGTAAATTTGTAATTTTAAGCTTTCTATTTGTTTCTATATTGTGCGAGACCATGCTGATACAGCACACTAAACTTTAACTGGTAAACAACTAATAAATTCTGTAAAATACTGTGTTACTGTGCTAGCATTGCATTTCTTGTCACTCTCAAAATAACACTTTTTTTTGGTGTTTTTCATCCGTTGCAATAGCACTACAACCTCAGTTGCTAGACAGAATAATTACAGAGCGCTAGAGGATGAAGCAATAAATAATGCAGGAACAAGTTCAGGCAAATATCTTACAAACCATTTTTTATGTGTTGAGGTTGTTTTAGCATCTGCGGAACATTTCTAGACATTGTATTTTATGCATTTCATGTATTTATTGTTGTATATATTGTTTTTCTCCATATTTATCAGAGAGATACTGCACGAAACTTGGATTGGCTAAGAACAGTGAAAGAGAGCCATGGCTCAGTGGAACTTTCCTCCTTGTCCCTTGCCACAGCCATAAATGCAAGAGGAGTGTACACCATCCGTGCCCAAAACCAGAAAAAGGTTTATTTTGCTGCCATATTATTCAAAATAAATTTGGATCTATAGTCAACTTTATTTGAATTAGGCAAAGTCTTTTTGTTTTAGGAGATGATTAAATGAAAGATTATTACATTATTACAAAAAATAAAACATTCACATCATTCAATTTAACATTGTTCACTTTAAAGACAATATTATGGGCCAGAGCTGGGGAACCCTGTTCCTGGAGAGGCTGCACAGACATACATAGATTCACTTTAAAGGGGATATTATAGAGACACAAATGTGCTTATGCACTATAAAAATAAGATACAAAATGATCCAGCACATTATTTTCCAATCTTACCCAAAATCTTAACATAGTAGCAAATCTTTGATTTTGTGATCTGCAATGTTGTGCACCAAGGAGTGCGTAACATAAACTCTGAACCTGTAAAATATTTTTACACTGCCCACTTACCATTTTTTTGGAATTACTTGTGTTTAGTGTTGTCTATAAAACTAATTGACTATAGTCAGTCACAGTCTAGAACTGTGATTCTTGATATGTGGCCCTTCCCCAGTACTCTGCTTAACAGTGTAGGTAAATGTACACTACAAGACAACAAGCAGTTTTGAAGTCTGTACTAAACATTCACTCTGGTTACCCCCACAATCTAGAACAACCTGTGTTATATATTTCTATATGTTTGGGTTTGCGCTAACACAGTATAAAAATTAAGTCAGAAGAGAAAATACTAAACATTAGTTTTAAGTCTTTTTTGGATAAATGTTTGAAAGGTGACCAAAATGTATGAACTAGTTTGCTGAAAACTTTACATCTTGCAGAAATGAAAAAGCAACTGTACTGGGTCTTTAACAAATTTTCATCTGCTCTTTCTGCAACAGATCAGTATGGAAACGGCTCTCAGACTGGATGTCCCTGAGGAACATGAGGAAGGGCATGAGATTCGTTGTTATTCTTTGGAAGATGTGAAAGATCTACAAAACAAACTCATGCTCATGTCTGGGAAGGCTGAACAAAACAATGAAGTGGAACATTTCACTGAGGTAAAGACGTGCTAGCCATAAAAGTGCTTTTGTATCTTACTGAATGCTGGGTATCTTAATGAATGAAACTGATACCATGCAATTTGTTCTTTTGCATTTCTAAGGTTTTTGACCATGTTCAGAGACTAGCTGCGACCTTCCTTGATCTTCTTTCTGCTGGAAATCCTTTGTTCAGGCAGTGGGAAGCAAAAATCACCTGCCGTGATGTAACATTAAACTCTGATGATGTTGGTACCCCTGGAATCATTATGGACTTCAATTTAAGAAGCATCGAGGACAAAATAATAGTTGAGGGTAATGCAGTTGAACAACTCCCAGAGCTCTGCAAGAAAATGGACAAGTACTTAAGTGAATGGAGGAAGTTCATAGACAAACAGAGATCTGAGAACTACTACCTAAACTATTACACTGCCGAGCAAATGGTCTATCTTTGTGAACAGCTCTCTTTGGAAAATGTTAATGAAGACTTAGAGGACAGTGCATTAATGATGCTCTCTTTCATCAACCCCAAAGCTACATCATCCAGTGTGTGGAAAATATGGAACCTCATACATGAAGACTTACAGAATGTGGGTACAGTAAATGTTTCTTTCTCTGAGGACAGTTTAAACAAAAGTATGGAAGATTTCTCAGATAATGAATTTGGGTTATGGACTTTAGATTTAATCTGGGACAAATATGTCACCGACATGAAGGCCTTTCTCACAGATACACTGGATATATCAAGTTTAGGGAGACTTCTTGACAGGCTGGGCAGTACTGTGACTGAGGATGATGAGGATGAGGACCAGGAGGAATTTATGCCATTAGACCCCCATGAAAGACCTATCAGAAGAGAGCTGCCAAAGGGGCTGGTGCTGGGCCGTCCCAACCTCATTGTCTGTCCCAGTGAAGAAGTCCTAGCCTCCTGCATTAGTGTCTACTCAGCCAGTGAATATGAGCCACTGCCAACTTATGATGAGGTCCTGTTGTGCAGTGCAGACACTCCATATGAGCATGTGGAACTTTTTCTCAGGCGTTGCCTCACCAGAGGGTATATGGGAGAGAAGATCTACTGCCTGCTGTATGCAGACCTCTTAAGCTATGACGTCAGTAATGCTGTGGAGCAGTTGTTTCACAAACTTCTTTCTGCGTCCAAGAAGGATTACAAACTTGTGATCATCTGCAGCTTAGAAAGGGAACATGCCTATATGCCTTCAGCATTTAGCCAGTTCAAACTGCACATGGTTCCACGCGAACCCTTACAGAAGATTCAGGCTTACCTCTCCAGACACTATACGGTCTCATCGGAACAGGCTAGTGCTGCTACTGTATTCAAAGACAAGCAGTGTGTTGGTATTGTGTCATCAAAACGAGCAGGAGTCGGTGAGTAAAAGAGAATGAATGTAACATTTCTCGAATCTCAAAGGTATTTTTACTGTCATCATTTTTAAAGCTAAAATGCAAGCTCCATGTGTTTGATTCTTTCAGGTAAATCCCTGTATATTCAGAGGCTTTATGAAAAGCTTGAAGTGTCTGAAAGACCTGGATCCTCATGCCTGAGATGCATTCGCTTACTTGAACCCACAGTCAAAGAAAATGTAATCCTTGAGTCACTGCTTGACACACCAAACCAAAATGGGCTTGTGATCTTCCACTTTGATGTTACATCATCGGTAAGAATTCACTTCTGTGAGACTCAACAAAACATATAAAAATATTTAATTTAGATTCAATAACAAACATGGGATTGTTTTTAGGTCCGAAAGGGATTGCATGAATTTTTATTCAAGCTATTAGTCCTTGGTTATCTAATGGATGCTAAAGGACAAATGTGGAAACGTAGCAGCCAACACTTGTATGTCATTGAGATGCTTCAACACACATCTGAACCCCCAAGATTTGCTCCAAAAGTGGTACGTTTCTTAATTGTCTTCCTTTATAGTTGTAAAGATTTCAGTCATGTGTTTATTTAAAGAAAGAGCAAACGTAATAAGAAACATTTCATTTGCAGCATTCAAAGCTACCTTTCACCTTCACTGAGGTCTTTCCCAAAGTGCAATGCAGACCTCCAAAAGAAGTTTTGGAGCTGGAAATGAAAACAGAAGATGACCCTAACTTTGAGATTGAGGACCCACTTATGGATGATGAGTATTTCAGGAGTGAAGCTTATCAGAGGCCTTACCAGTATTTGAGGCGTTTCCATGAGAGGATTGATCTTGACAGCTTCAGCTTCAGTGGAGTTGAAGGTTCCCATACGGAATGTCTCCAGATGTTTTTTATCTACTGCGGCATTGTTGATCCATCATGGGCAGAGTTGAGAAATTTTGTCTGGTTCCTTAATCTTCAGTTGCAAGACTGTGAAACATCTGTTTTTTGCAACATGGACTTTGTCGGAGACACTTTGAGAGGATTCAAAAACTTTGTGGTTGAATTCATGATACTGATGGCCAAAGACTTTGCCACACCATCTTTAAACATATCTGATCAAAGTCCTGGGAGAGAAAACGTAGACCTGATGGGTGCTAATGAAGAAGATCTAGCCCCATTCCGCATTAGAAAGAGTTGGGAATCAGAACCTCATCCGTACATCTTTTTCAATGAAGATCATCAGTCAATGACCTTCATTGGTTTCCACCTCAAGTTAAATAATCAGAAAGGAGTTGATGCAATTGATCCATCCACAGACAAAGTGATAAGGAGAAACATCATGACGAAGCAGCTCTATGATGGTCTCCGGATTAACCGAGTCCCTTTCAACATTCCTTTTGATGAACTACCTAGAGGTGAGAAGATTGAGCATTTGTGCAGTGTTCTTGGCGTTAAGTGGCCATCAGATCCTGATGAGACCTACCAGCTTACTATGGATAACATATTGAAGATGATGGCAATTCACATGAGATTCAGGTGTGGCATTCCGGTCATTATCATGGGGGAAACTGGCTGTGGAAAGACAAGACTTATCAAATTCTTGTGTGAGCTGAAAAGAAGTGGGATCCCTGCAGAGAATATGAAGTTGGTAAAAGTGCATGGCGGCACAACCCCTGATATGATCTATGCCAAAGTGCAAGAAGCTGAGTCTGTTGCATATTCGAACAAAAAGAGACATAATCTTGATTCTGTCATTTTCTTTGATGAGGCCAATACTACTGAGGCAATCAGTTGTATAAAGGAAGTGCTTTGTGACAACACAGTGCAAGGGCATAAACTTAAACCTGACTCTGGACTACAGATTATTGCTGCTTGCAATCCTTACAGAAAGCACTCAGATGAAATTATTGAAAGACTGGAGGATGCAGGTCTGGGATACATAGTGAAAGCTGATCAAACACAGGACAGACTAGGATCCATTCCTCTTCGTCAACTGGTGTACAGAGTTCATGCATTGCCCCCAAGTATGATTCCTTTGGTGTGGGACTTTGGGCAGCTCAATGACAACACAGAAAAAATGTACATTCATCAAATTGTTCAGAGCGTAGTTGAGAACAATTTGGTCAGTGAGGACTACGTCAAGATGATGACTGATGTCCTTTCTGCATCTCAGAGATACATGAGAAAGAAGAAAGATGAATGTAGCTTTGTCAGTTTAAGGGATGTAGAACGTTGCATGCAAGTATTTGTGTGGTTCTACACCAATTACAAAATGTTTTTTGAAGAACTGGCAGAGTTCTTGAAGAAAAAGCAGAAATCATCAAAGAATGTTGGTAAAAAGATCTCCTCAAATGATAAAGATCCAGTTGAATGGGCTCTGGTGATGGCAGTGGCAGTGTGCTACCACTCATGCCTGGAAAAGAAAAAGGAATTTTGGACCAAACTCTGCAAATCTTTCCCAAATTACAACATTACACAAGTGATGCAAGAAATCTTTCTAATGCAGGATCTTCTTCTACATGGTGTGCCCCTTGGTGGAACAATTGCTAAGAACAAGGCTTTAAAAGAAAACGTGTTCATGATGGTAGTGTGCATTGAACTACGAATCCCTCTTTTTCTAGTTGGTAAGCCTGGGAGCTCAAAGTCTCTGTCAAAGACCTTAGTTGCGGATGCAATGCAAGGCCAGGCTGCCCACTCTGAGTTGTACAGGAAGTTGAAGCAGATTCATTTAACATCCTACCAGTGCAGTCCTCACTCAACTGCCGAAGGAATCATCAACACATTTAAACAATGTGCCCGTTTTCAAGAAGGCAAAAATCTAAAAGAGTATGTCTCTGTTGTTGTGCTAGATGAAATAGGCCTGGCAGAGGACTCTCCTAAAATGCCTCTGAAAACTCTTCACCCATTGTTGGAAGAAGGTTGCATTGATGATGACCCACTTCCCCATAAGAAGGTTGGGTTCATTGGCATCTCAAACTGGGCTTTGGACCCAGCCAAAATGAACAGGGGAATCTTTGTCTCTCGAGGTGACCCAGATGAGAATGAACTCATTGAGACTGCGGTAGGAATTTGTTCATCAGAACCAATGGTTTTGGAGAACATCAGACAACTTTTTCATCCATTGGCAGTTGCTTACTTGCAAATTTGCAAAAAGCAAGATAAAGGTTTTTTTGGCCTACGTGATTACTACAGCTTGATCAAGATGCTCTACGCTGTTTCCAAAGCTTCTCATCCTTCCTCTGAGCAAATTACTGAAGCAGTGTTGAGAAATTTCAGTGGCTTGGACAATGTGGACACTCTGAAAATCTTCTCCAAAAATCTGCATATTCGAACGGACTTGAGTCACATCAGTACTGTCGATCTTGTGGGACAAAACATTAACAGGATCGTTCAGGATGAGGACTGTCGCTACCTGCTTATCCTAACCAAGAACTTTGCAGGCCTTCAAATCCTTCAGCAGAATTTCTTCTCCAACAACAACCTCCCAGAGATCATCTTTGGGTCAAGTTTTCCCAAAGATCAGGAGTACACTCAGGTGTGCAAGAACATCAACCGTGTGAAAATCTGCATGGAAACTGGCCAGACCGTTGTGCTTTTGAACCTTCAAAATCTCTACGAAAGTCTCTATGATGCCTTGAACCAGTACTATGTTTCTCTTGGGGGTCAAAAATATGTGGATCTTGGTCTTGGCACACACCGTGTGAAATGCAGAGTCCACAAAGACTTCCGCCTTATTGTCATTGAGGAGAAAGAGGTGGTGTACAAACAGTTCCCCATCCCACTGATTAACAGACTAGAGAAACACTACCTTGACATCAACAGTGTACTGAACAGCAGTCAGAGGGAAATCGTCAGCCTTTTGCAGAAGTGGGTCAAACGTTTTGTGTCCTCAAACAACCAGCATTGCAGATCACACAAATACTTGCCGGCAGACGTTTTCATTGGCTACCATTCAGACACATGTTCATCTGTTGTTCTGCAAGTGATGGATAAATTGAGAGATGAGACTGAAGACTTCCAAGACAGAGTGTTGCAGGAAGCCAAGCTTGTCCTACTCAACTGTTCCACTCCAGATTCAGTGGTGCGCCTGGAATTTACTGATTTGCCTGATGTGGAGACACAACGACTGGCAAATGCGTACTTTAAGCTCCAGAAACACCGCTCTCTGGCTGAATTCATTGCTTCTCACATTCAGCAAGGACATAGGAACCATTGCGTCTTCACAGAGGTAGGATTTTACCCTTATTCATTCTTTAGGCATTAATTATATGTTATTTCAATATTTGAGACTTGATGTAGAGAACCGATATTAAATGCAATGACATTTAAATGTGTTTGTTTTCTGTAAAGGTTACAACATTCTCTAGACTGTTGACAGCTGCAGATACATGGCAACTCAAGAGCTTCACAGGAATTAACACCATTGATCTTCTCTCATTGCAACAATTTGAGACTGAACTGTCCTTCCTCAAACAAATTAAGTAAGTAAGAACACCTGGGTTCCTGATTAGTTCACCTGCCACTTCTTAATGACTGTATAAGATTAGTAAGATTTCTTTATTGTTTAATGGTGCTTTCTTTTAGAGAGTTCCTCAGCGTTCAGTCTGCAGACAAGATTCTTCTTGTTCAAATGGATTTTGGTGAAGATTCACTGAGTGCAAATATTCTTGCATCAGCCAGGTATCTATTATATTAATGCTATGAAAAAACTTTAACCAATCACTTTTTTTGCCAATTACTTTTTGCCAATTTACCAAATTCCTAGAATGTTTTTTTGATAAACGGAGAATTAATAAGAATATGCATATTTCACGACACAGTTTGTTTTCCTTCAGGTACTCCTGCATGAATGAAATCATTCGATCAAAACAGGTGGGTGATTGTAGGATTTATGTGTACTTCATCACAAAACTACCACGAATGGAAGGGGGGACGTCCTACATTGGATTTCAGGGAGGTTAGTTTGAAAATAAATGTATGAGTTGAATCACATATACACACTGTAAACAAAACACATTATATTTGTACTCATAAGTAGAGAACTCTGGCACAAAATTCTTATGTTCATAGGACACTGGATGTCAGTTCACATTGATGACCTCAGAAGTTCTCAAGATATTGTATCTGATGTCCAGAACTTGAAAAACATATCAATTTGTGATCTTTTTGAGGAAAATACAAAGCAAACTGAAGGTATCCTTTCATAAGCATTCAGATTCGAAACATGAATTGGTTGTAAATTTAGTTATGCTTTCTAATCAATGCATGTACTTTTTATATTTATCCAGAAATTGGGGTCCAGGATGCTGAGCTTGCTGAGTTCGAAGATACTGTAAGTATAATACTGTAACACTGTACAGTATTAATTGTTTTTAACCCAAAAACTATATACTATATCAGTGCTGATATTGTTTTAGGTATTGGAGAGCAAGTTTGACACAACAGCACTTGTGCGCAGTTGTGTTCAGAGTGCTGTAAGCATGCTAAGGGATCTTGAAGATGATGGCAGCCTTATTACAAGAAGAGTGGACATCCTGCTCACATTACTGGATGACAGTGAAGAACTGAAAGGTGTGTTTTGTGTGCTCCCTAGTTGTCTTCTGTGAGAAGTATCTGTGTTAATCATTTTGGCGAGGAACTTCATTTTAGTAAGGAAAATTGTCTTATGTGACAGGTAAATTTATGGACGCCTTGAAAAAACGCCTTCATCTCCTGTTGAAAGCACGTGAAGACAGTACTGATATGCCCAAGAACTGGGTTTCCAGAGAGGCTGCAAATATTGAAGCCCTGCAAGAAGGAGGGACCTTTAAGTAAGCATACACTATATGAGTCAAAGCTGAAAACACTAAATAATTTTTAGTAGCACTGTCAAAGTTAATGGCAAATAATAAATTGACCACAATCGTGGAGGAACCATTGTCTGTACATGGAATACATATTATATATATATATATATATATATATATAATATATATATATATATATATATACACTCACTGAAACATGAAACATTGAAACATTGGTGATTTGCATGTTCAGGTTCATTTGAACTCATGTGAACTATTTTGTCCATTGACATAACTATAACAAAATGGGCGGTTTGCAGTTTGAAAAGTTTTTCTTTAGGGTCATATTTAAGCAAATAAGACAAATCCAATTAGTCTTGATTAACGACACAAAATAATACAATTTTTGTGAATTTTTACGAATATGACATTTCACATAAAGACATTTTTTCTGTCTCTTTACCTATTTACTTTCTACTTTATATTGCATATTCTACCTTACTGTTTCATTTTTACTGTGTTATATTTTTATGAATAGTGCATTTTGTCAATAGGCATACTCTGTGGCGGAGAGTACAAACAGTGGTCACTCCCCTCCTGGCTCACTTGATTTCGGTCATCGACCGCAACTGCAACCTGAACCTTCTGCTTGATGACTGTGAGGATGAAGTCAAGAATTTATGGTTTCTCATATTTAAAAACCATTCAGTGTTGGATATACCATATGTTCAGATGGGCCAGAAGTAAGTAAAAGTTATTTATTTTATTTTATTCCACTTACTATGAAGACTATAAATTTAGACTAAAGTTGACTGTTTGAACACAGCTCAGAGTCACAGACCATCCCAATCCAAAGCCATATCTCAGCGGGAAGAACCATGTCCTGCATCATGCCCTTCAGCTGGAGGATCAAAGATCTGTTAGATGACCTCTGGGAGCACACCTTGCAGGGGGAGGGTGATTATGTCCTTTTGTATATTGCATATTTTGAATTAAGATTTTGTTTATTTAGTTTTTGTCCTTCAGATATTTCAAGGACATTTTTGTAAGTCCCACCTTATAATTGAGAGTTTTTTCTTTTCAGGTCAAAACAGTAAGCAGTTTGAGGAGGTCTTCAAGATGACTGTGCTAGGGGAATATTTTGCAAGTGTGGACAAAAAAATGCAGAGGGAATTTTTCCAAAGATATCTTCAAGATTTCGTTGCTTTGACAATGAAAGTTTCAATTGTTGGCGAACAGCAAGTGAGAACAGTAGTGTTTTCGTTTTATGTTTTTCATAATTTGTTTTTGTAGTATTAACAGTATCTTCCATGCCTAATTCCATATTGTCTTGCATAATCAATCTACAGCAAAGGCTGGTTTGTCTCTTGTAGTTGCTGGGCTCTGCCCTGCTGAGCTGTGTGAAAGAGTTGTGTAGGCGGAGAGGTAGCTCAGTGGACAGTGAGCTGTCTTTGCCGCTAGTCCACTCGGCTTACCATGAATTCCAGAAACGTCTGCAGAACTTCTCCAGGATGATGTCCATCCTGCCTGAGGTGGTCCTTTCCTTGCAGGGAAATCTACATGTGATGGATGCACCCGAGATGGTATTTTTCAAAAAATCTAGTTTTTTTTTTTCATCTGGTAGCCTCATTGAACTCCATCACTAATGTAAATATGTAATAAAATCTGAGCAGCCACACTTAGTGGCATGTTGATGATGCTTAAAAGGTCTGTGATGCAACTGATATATTAGACGATATAAAGTGTTTTACAAGCATACATACTTTTTTTGGAAAAAAAGTTGCGTTTGGTGTGAATTCGTATTCAAACTTGCCGAGTAATCAATTAATACCTAAATATTTGTGGTGCTCTTCTTTAGATTTTAGATGTGTATTGCGCTCTTGCCTGTGTGGAGTACCTAGAGCCCCAGGATTTCAATGTGGACTTTCAGCGGCAGTCATGGCTGAAGCAAGTGAAGAAACTGCAGGTCCCCATTGAGCTGGTCTGCTCAGAGAACAGCATTAAACAGTATAGCGATCGGAGTCGAGAGATGACGAAGCGCATCAGGTGAGTTTCAACATAACCTCTACAGCAAGGGTCTCAAACTACTGGCCCACGGCTTCATACCACAAGATTCATTCATCTCACAGTGCGTTAGAATCAAGAAGTGAATGGAATTACTAAAAGAATCCACTGAGCACATAACAACCTCATTTTTATAAGAGTTTACCCACAACCACTTTACTCACTTTACTTACAGCAGAAATGCCACTGCTATCACAATAAAAGTACCATATAATTCTACTGTTCAATAGTAAGTTTACTTGATTTAACTGAACACCTTGAATTGTACTATAAATACATAAAATCATGCAATGATCATATAATCATCATATAATGAAAGCTTCGCAAGTTCTAACATTATGAAGTCATGAAAAAAGTTTTTTTTCAGCAAAACCTTTTTTCTCAGAAAAAAGTACCGACTTTTGTTCATCCCTGTGGTGGTACCCTCAAGGGAACATCTTCAGTACCTTTAGTTAGGACAAATAATAATTATTGATAATTATTTGTTTATTAATGTTTGTATTTATTTATTTATTTATTTTTTAAGTCATCCAGGCTTTCATTTTATTGTTTCTATTAACAAAAGTGGTTGTTATGTACCTGTAAAAAGATCTCAAGCACCATGTTGTATTTTTAATCTTAATCATTTGTAATCATATTACCACTATGATTATAAATGTTTTAATTTGTTCGTTACCTAAACTTATTGCTTATCATGTGTATTCTAGCAATGGCTGGAGACAAATCTTCACCTTCTCACTGTTTGTGGAGCACATACAGCTGGGCATTGAGGCTGAAGATGAAAGGCTGAAACCTCTGGTTATGAAGCACTCTCAAAACTTATGGAAGGTAAGGAGTTATACTGCCACTTTTTGATTGCAGTTTCATTAGCATAATGCATTTCTTGTAAAAGCAAATTTGAAAAATGCTTTTTGTAAATTTAGTCCATTTGTTTTTTTGCACAAGACATTCTGCACATGCCATGTAAGCCTTACAAGTAGTAATATTAACCTCTTTAACTCAGTGACATTTATTACATCCTAAGGATTGAGTATAGTAATTACAATGCAATCTGGTTCAGTTATTCTTAAGTAAAAAGAGTGAGAAATTAGTCTGGAACTGACGGTGGTTCTGTGGGTTTACCGCCGTTCTGTTTCATAGCACACTGAAATAAATGGATTGAGCAAATGCCAGCCTTCTTGATACATTTTTTAGTTTTCCTACATTGGGTTACCAACAGTAATGTTAAGCTTAAAGTACATTAGTGACACTGTTACATCTTGTTTTTGTCAAAGGTACTTGAGAAAAGCTCAGACATGAAACTGGAGAAAACCTTTCTGGCTGTAATTGAAATACTCAGATCCTGCAAACAAGGAGCAAGTGACCTCATATTCAAGTAAGAGTTCTGCTGATATATGCTGATTCTTTCAAATCAGTTTCAGATTGTTTATTGCATTTGGAAATGAGAGGAAACCACTGTTAAATGTTAAAATTGTAAATTTGTAAATGCTAACATTAAAGTATCTTTTTGAGGTTTGGCATCCAGTCGTGTGCTATATGCAGAGTAGAGCCCCAAGACCCTGTGGAGTTACCATGCCATCATATCTTCTGCCAGCCGTGCATCAGAAGGTGGCTGACCCCAGGCCAGATGTACTGTGCTTTGTGTACCCAACCAGTACCAGATGACTTTGAGATGAAAGTCTCTGAGGATTTTCGGTGGGTCATGTCTGTTTCTTTTTCTTAAAGTAGCCTCTTTCTGCAGGCCCCCTAGGGGCCATTTCAGAATGGAATTTGACTCCGATATTTTTAAACTGCTATAATCAAATAAAATATTTCCCTGTAAGTTTGTTATCAGAGTAACCATGACAACTTTGGCGCTCTGTGTGTGAAATGTTGAGCTGCTAGTGAGCAATGAGTAGTGAAAGGGGAGGGGTGAGAATCCCCTGCTGTGAAAACAATTCACACCTCTCCAGAAAGATAGCTGTGCTGAGAAAACAGACAGCAACTTAAGCTTTCTTGACATAAAAAAATCATATACAACAGCCACAATAAAAAATAGCATTTAAGCACAAGAAGACCTCTTTTGTAAATGTTGACTTGGTTGCTCACCTGCAAAGACAAAAAAGGGGGAAATTGCATTTTTTGGCTACAGTGGAAAACAGTTAAAATCCAGTTTTTGAATGTGTTTATATGGAGCTGTGTTTTAAAACAGCATCATACTGATTGTGCCCCCTTGTATCTGGGTATGATGATTTTACAGGGCCTGTCTCAAGTTGAACGCCCAGTTCAGACAACGGTGCAATGCCTTTTTCATAGACATAGTGTCCACAGTGTGTTTCAAGGATAATTCCCCACCATCCAGAGGTGTCATTCTGGACCTGCTTTCCTTCCTCATGGTTGAGGCAAAGCCAGTCTCCCTAGTTCAAGGTAAGGTGTATTTTCTCTGTTCAACAGAGGTGTGCACTCATTAATGATTTTTTAGTAAGATGTTATGCTCTCTGTCTTCTCTACCAGCACAAAGCCATATTCACACCAAAGCCCTGTCACCTTTCGATGAGTGTGTGGACCGAAATCCTATTGTACGCTCTGTGGTGCTTAAACTCCTGCTGAAATACAGGTGCAGTATGACAGTTTAGACAGTTGTAGCATTATAGAGTTGTTTTTGACACAAAAATACATATATATATCTTATATACATTTATTGTAAAGCATGGGTGCAATTGGTCTAACAAGTCGGGAGTTGGGGCAACGTTTAAAGGCTAAAGTTTACATACAGCAATTCAAATGTAAAATTACACAGTACACCTACTATTACGCTTATTGTATTGATATCTCATATTCAATTTGTCAATATTAAATCACAAACAAATAATATTAATAGCAGGAATGACAATATCACACATTATAGAGATTCAGTTTTGTTGCCTGTTACAATGGCTTTTTTATTTTTAAATTGTGTAGTAAATTTCTTTTCTTAAAAATGACTATTTTTGCAAAAAACCCTTTTAATGATAATTATTATGATGATAATTATGAATAAAAACAAATAACTGGTACTAACTGCTATGACATAAGTCAACAATCACAGTACAGTAAAAAGTGTTACTGACATTACTGAGTACAACTAAACGAAACAACCATCTATTTGGGGTTTTAAATAAATTTTTTCAACAAACATCCCACAACAATTAAAATTTGCCCACGCAATTTTTAAAAGGGGTGGATCTGACCCAACCAACCAAAAACAAACTTACTGACAAGATAAATGGTTTTAAACACTTTGCCTATGTGCCATTTGTGCACAGTACTTTATATATAAAATACTTTTTTCAGCTTTGATGAAGTGAAAGAGTACCTCCAGCAGCACTTGGAGAACATACTACAGAGCAAAATCTTGGATGGTGCTGACAAAGCAGAACTCTATACTTTATACATCAATTGCTTTGAGGTGAGTTGGACATGATTTTTGAAAATAAATGTAGTACTTAAAAACCGATTTTGATTGTATAATTGATATTTTTGTTTTTGTAGGATTCCATGTTTGAAGGAAAGGAGTTGGGCTCTGAGGCAGGGCAGAAGCAGCATCTGCAGGAGGGTAGAGACTTCCTGCATTTCTTCCTCCACGCAGACAGGGTGGCCACAGAGGACGTCTCCATAGAGACCCTGCAGCAGATCGCAAGACTGCGTGTGTGCTTGGACATGGGTGCTCAGCTGCTTGCCACAGTGCCAGGCAGAGGTTAGTTTTTACATATCACTTAGTTTTTATAGATTTGTCATGATATACTATATGAAGATGATGTTGTTAAATGGAAAATTTTTTGCTTAAGCTTGGGCTCCACATAGAGCAAACTTCATAGAATTGTGCTATAATGTCTTAATTAGGGAGCTTGGAGAAACATCAGGAGGAGTTCCTGGCCACAGTGATGGAGCTCTGTGAAGAAAGCAGGAATGACTGGTACAGAGTGTACCTGATCAGAAAGATCTGCAGCCTGCAGGGTGTGGAGGTTGTACAGAACATGCAGAAGGATTTCCAGTGGCTTTTCCCACAGGAGATCTTACAACAGGTATGTTCCAGAAACACACTATATAGAGAGCACTGAATACTGAATCATGTTTAATGTAATAATGAGTTATGCAAAAATTTACATTTACATTCAATTTACATTCTGCAAGTTCTGTTTTTTTTTATTTTAAAATGAATGAGGCACAATACAGAACAGCCAGTCAGAACAGAGCTCCTATATCTCATAACTCAGTCTTAAAAGCACAGTAACATAAATAGTCTGTTTAATTCAGAGGAATCTTTGGTTTATAAAACCACACAAATGTTACAAGAAGACTTTAAGGGAAAAAATAAAATACAGAAAAATGTAGTTTATGGGCCAATTAATACTGAATTGACAGTTATGCTGAGTACCTTATGTGTTGCAGGAAGACACCGGGGGCCAGATGGACCAGTACTTGGTGTACGGTGAAGAATATAAAACTGTACGTGAGGCAGTTGCAAAGGCTGCAATGGAGGGCACAGTGCAGGGCATAGACAAGGCCCTTGAGGTGCGTGAATTTCATCCGTGGCTTTGGTTAAAAAACTGAGATTAGAAGGACTTTTTATGCTTTTGAAAGCATTTTTAATCATGCAGAAAGAGGCTACTTTAAGAAAAAGAAACAGACATGACCCACCGAAAATCCTCAGAGACTTTCATCTCAAAGTCATCTGGTACTGGTTGGGTACACAAAGCACAGTACATCTGGCCTGGGGTCAGCCACCTTCTGATTAAAATGTTTTTTTTTTTTCTTGATTCATCAACAGTGATTTCATGTACTGTACTATAAAAAGATTCACTGTAAAATTATAGTATAATAAGTATAGTATATTACTGGCTACTAGGTGCATTTCACAATATATAGATATAACAAACATATTCATTTATTGACCATGTTTTGTTGTATTGTATGTTCTATATAATATAATAAAAGAGTTCTATATTAATAAAATTTTATATATAATATTGTGAAATCCTGGCAATAATTAACAGTGTGTATGCTGTGTCATTTCTTCTAGAAGTGTACATGTGCTCCAAGGAGAAAGGCCTTCTATCTTCTTCTTGCCCTTTTCAGAGAAGTTACCATTCTCTTTCGAGTAACCAATCAGGTCCTCCACCCCAAAACAGAGGTAGGAGCCTTTGCACATATTTCTGCCTCACTTTGTGTAAATTACCATTAATCATTCATCAGAATTATTTCACATCTGATTTCACATTTACCATATTCAGTAAATACCTAACCTTTAGGACCCTTCATTATATACTGTCTAATAGCTATATTCTTCAAATATTACAGTTACATGAGTAATTAGTTACAAAAAGTAAAAACACATTTTATTAACCTTCTATATCACTAGGTTTAAGTGCACTTCTGACTTCTTTCCATTTGTTTCAGTGTCAAATGAAAAAAAAATCTTCTAAGAGTTAAATATGAACAATTAGACATACACTGTAACAACTGTGATAAATTTCTTCGATTTCTAGCAAAGGCGACCTCTTGAGGACTTCATCCATGGCTCGCAGTACTTGGTCACCAATGAGATGAAAGTGTTTGCTGAAGCTCTGGTGAACAACAGACTGGGTGATCTGAGTGTTCATCGGCGTCGCTCTAACACAGAGCACACCCTGATAGAGCTGGCTGTCCACCTGAAGGCTGTGCTGCTGTGCGGATCTGAGCAAGTGCTGACTCCCCTTTTACAGCTCGGCCTGTGCCCTTCCACCATGCAGGTAAGTCTGATGTCCTGATTTTTCCCATATTGCACTAATTTACATTAGTTTATATTCATAGCTTTTGCTTTCGGTCTCATCGTACAGGCAGCATTTATACCCACTATGCCTGAGGACATGCTTGCTACAGCACAAAAGGCTCTTGGCAACACGTGGTATAGTAAGTGAACCAACAGACTGCACTCTTCACATTTCTAACCATTTGTGTCATGTCATTAAAATGGTTTCAGCAACTGCATGTCCTGTTTTCTAATGAGTTTAAATTGATGAGTGTCAATATGTATTATTTCTTACCTTCCTATAGCCTGTCCCAATGGTCACCCATGTGTTGTTGACAAGGTAAGCCTCAGCTTTCTCACTGAGTGCCATACTGTATTCTTTGAAGTCACTAGGCCATTCTTTAGATATATAATCACAATAAGTGGTTTTACCAATACCTGAAAGAACAAACCCATATGGTGAACATACACAGACATTTCAAAAACACTGTTTTTTAATCCAAAATACATTCCAAACAATAAAAAGTACTTTAGGATACTTTGCCTAAATGCTAAGATCCTAACGAATCAATTAAGACATAATGGCAAAAAGACTTTACAAATAGAAGGGTGTCCACACTTTTCCACATGCAAAAATTACTATTTTATTTTTTCTATAAGGAAAAATAGATATCACAATGACAATGTTTTGCCAGTTATTGATATTCTTACAAATATTTTTTGTATTGAAAGTTATGTAAAAATGTTCAATTTAGATATGCAAATGAGACGTTATCTACTTTAACATGCATAAATTTGCGTATTCTTAAAAAACAAAAATTTGCTATTTCCTACAGTGTGGCAGGCCAATGCAGAAGGGCAGATGTCTGGAGTGTGGAGCTGTGGTGGGAGGGCAGAATCATATGGCTGTACATGGTTTCAGTCAAGTGAGGCAGCAGTAAGTCACACCAAACTAATATGAAGCTTTCATGATGACAAATGTAAAACAAATCAAGATGGGTGTTTTAAGACATGAGGAGAACAAAGGAAAATAAAAGGGCTCAAGTCAAATAGTAAACAATACAAAAAAAAAACAATAAAATTGAAATGTCTTTTTCAGGGGGGATCGTACCCAGACAGGCCACATTCTAGGAGACCCACAAAGAAGAGATAACCCAGATGCCCTGGACACCAAAAGCTTGTCTCTAACTCCTTTTACATTGATCAGAGTGATGACCCATCTAACCATGCTGCTGGGGTCTTCAGAAGAAGCTCAGGTATGTTTAATGTCCAGATTGAGGTGGTTCCCATATAGCGATTATTTCCAACCCTGTTTCTGGACCACTCCTCTCCTGCATATTTTAGTGTAAACCTGCTTTAATGCCTAATCAAACAAGTCAGTTGGATCTGGTTGGGGAACCACAGCAATTCTTTTTATTAATAATTAATAACTGTCACAAGGATCCTTTTTTGCTTTCTCTTTAAAATACAGTCCCAGTTTATAGCAAAGATCATCCGGCCTCCAGTGCAGGACCCCTGTGAGTTTTTGACACGGCATCTGGTGAAGGACTTGGAGCATCTAGGAATGGCTGTGGGAAAAGGAGTGGATGACACGGTCACTACTGTTCATTTGATGCTCAGCTGGGCCCTGGAGCCTCCTAAGAGTGTTAACTGTAAGTCCTATGATAAACTATTTTAGTTTCCCTATTTTAGTGCTTAAGGCGTGACACTACATGTAAGGAGGATAATTTTTTAAAACAATAGACATCACAATGAATTTTTGCTAGTTGCTTACTGATATCCTTACTTTTTTGTATAGGAAGTATTTAGATATGAATTTAGATATGAAAATAAGACGTTATCTACCTTAATTTGAATAAATTTGCGTATTTTCAAAAACCAAAAATCAAAATCACAACAGTTTGAGAATTAAAGATGAAAGGTGAAAGAATCTCAAGGAACAAATAGTTTGTGTTATTATCATAAAATGTTTTACAGGTCTTTTTGTAGAACAAACTTCATAATAAATCCAGCAATATTTTCTGTATTCGTTTTGAAAATTCTTAGAGATTAGGGATGAACATGTGAAATTTCATGAATGCAGATGTTCTAGGAGCTGAGATTTTTGGTACTGAATGTAGAGCAAAGCTGATTTTGGAAAAATAAATGGTCAGAACTGCATTAGCCAGTAAGATCTCAGGTAACATGCACCAGTTATTTGAATGTTATCAAAATACCAAAGGAAATAAAGATATTTGGATGTTTTTATTTAGATTCTACAGAAAACGAGCGTTTTTAGTGATACATGACACGGAATGAATTTGTGAAGTGTGGGCGGAGCTAAGCCTTCATTAAAGTTGCTAACTTTTGGAAAATACTGTTAGACGTGATAGGACATGAGTCGATGTGAATTCAGTACACTGAAATAAACATATTTCTGTTGAGTTTTTACATTTTCATAATTGCATTTTAAGAGAAGACATGTTATACTTGCAGTCTATCCAAAGATCAACAATGGTCGGCAAGACCAAAATTCTCATTTCTGCTTTTAGTGTCATAGAAACACTCTATTGCCATTGTGATATGATCTGCCTGTGTGGTTAGGTGCTTTATTTTTAGACTGCTTAAATACTGTGGCAAATAAATATTGTCACTCTAGGGCCTGCTGGCTATGATAACACCCTCTCAACTAAGGAGGCCAGGAATGCCTGGGAGATCACCTTGGCTCATAACGTTATCACTCCCAAACTGAAGGTAAGGCTAGTCCACTAATCCCTTTGCTTATTATTCAGTTATTTATCGTAAGACTTATAACGAGTATTATCTATTATTTGCAAGTTATGTAGTTACAAGAGTGAGAAAGAGTGTTCAAAGAGTTCTGAAATTGCTTTTGATTAAAATTTTACATTTACACTTTAAACAATTTCACATCAGATTTGAATGTTTTTTTTTTGTTGGGTTAACAGAAATTGGAGCGTAAACTAAAAAAGGTGACCACCTGCATGAGGGGGGATTCCCGCGTGTCCTCTAACCCCATCCTGAAGGTGATGTACGGTGACCCGCGCGTGTTCCTGTCCTCCCTGCCGCAGCAGTCTGTGCTCCACAGCTCTGCCATGTGGAGCTGCAGGGAGAAAGGCTCTCTGCTCAGTCTCACACACATCGTCGAGCAGAACGACGGCAAAGACAACTTCCCTCTACTCTGGAGTTTCCTGCAGAAGGTTATTTTCATTTTGATTTCTGTAGATGTCTTATATGTAAAGTGATTTATCTCAGCAGTAAATATTTATTTATTTAAAAACATAAACAATAAATAATATATTTTGATATGTGTCAGTGTATTAGCTTAACCATTTACAAAGCTCTCCTCAAAGGAAGCTATCATCCACTACCTGGTTCAGCTGATCAATCCTTCATTAAGTTAAATCAGTGTGCTGCAGATGGAAAGCAATACCTTTACTGGAAAAAAAATCTTGTTTCACTGTAATCATGTTTATTTGCATTTATTCTAATGTAAAAATGTTTTTTTTTCACTGAGAAAACATACTTAACAGTTGTCTTGGGAGTCAGTGACTTTTACACATTATTGTATGTCTCATACTCATGGAAGTTATGCATAGTTTTATGTTTAGACCCATTTTGTTCCAAGACAGTATCAGTGAATTAGACTGTACATTCAGACTGAACAGAGTGTTTGTCTTGTTTCTGTCTGTTTCACTTTGAAGGAAGCTGAGTTCCGCCTGGTCAGGTTCCTTCCAGACATACTGGCCCTGCAGAGAAAATTGGTTAAGAAGTTTCAGAATCTCCCTGATTTGTGCAGTGGCACAATTAGGGATTTCATTGACAAACAAACTTCAGGTAAATAATAAATAGTGCTTCATGTTAGACTTAAATTGAACTGAAATGTCAAATCTTGCTGCTGTGTGAATGAAGAATGTTAATATGTTGTATATCAACAGCATCTCAAAAGAGCTGGTATGAGAAGCGTGTTCACATCTTCCTGAGTTCATGGAACCAGCTAAGAACTTCTTTGGCCACTTGTGAGTATTATCACGAAGCACATGTACTACTGAAGAAAATAGGTGGAAAATACTTTGAGATTCCACCAATCTGCATAATTCACTTATTAAGACACAAAAAAGTCATTCAGAGTGGTTTGATGTGAAATGGTTCATTGTAGAGAAACTCAGGTTTCTTTACAGTGGTAGTGGTAGAAGCAGGCATCACAATGTACAATGCAAAAATAGCCATTTTATTTGCTATCAACCAGCAAACGTGCATGTCTTCCAAGTTTTATATGTAATGTTGATAATGATAGAATTGTGATGAATTGTGTGTGTGTGTGTGTGTGTGTGTGTGTGTGTGTGGCTGTGCAGATGAGGTGAACGTGCCAGGAGATTACTGCAGTGTGGATCTGGATAAGGGCAGTGAGCTGCAAGTGCTGGTTCCTCGGAGGCAGGGGCCAGGACTGTGTGCTACCGCCCTGCTCAGCTACCTGGTCTCTCTGCATAACCAATTGGTCAGCGCAGCGGGCAAACACACCGGAGAGGACAGCAGGTAGTGACATACAAGATACCAGAACACTTTACCTTCTGTCCATGCAGAATGTGATGATTTTAAAATGTAGCAGCACATTGTGTTTCATTTTAATAGTAGTATTTATTTTAAACTACACATTTATTAATCAGCTATTAATTTTAAGACTTACTATTCAGCAACTGCTATAAATGATTCAGTAATTACTACAAAAAAATATGTAAGTTTGATAGTTATGAGAGCAAGGGACTGACTTGTGGTTCTCTATAAAGACTCTTACAGTTTAAGGGTTAGTACACTTTTTGCAGTAGAATATGAGAAAAATTACACTAAGACAAGTAAATATAAGTAATGTAGCAAGATGCCAAGTTAACTCTGTTAGTTTAATGTGCTGCACTAAAAGACTGACAGAAAACAGTCATTACAATGCATTTCAATTCAAAGAACATGGGTGTGCTTAAAATTTAAAACAATAGTGAGTTGATGTGAAAGTGAGTGTCCTCTCTGTCGTGTGCCATTAATCAGCTACACGGTGAGCCTGGCTGAAGTGAGCGAGCTGCATGTGATCCAGTACGAGGTGGACCGAGACCTGCTCCCACTGGTGCTGGCAAACTGCCAGTACAGTATGGAGCGTGGCCGGGAAACTCTGTCTGAGTATGATCTGCCTAAGATCCAGCAGCAGATCCTCGCCCGCTTCTTACAAGGCAAACCCCGCATCACACTGACCGTAAGTGAAAATCAGTTTCCAGACAAATGAAACAACTGGTAGTGTGGCGACATGATTTTCCAAGTTGACACGTGCACCATTAGTCCTGATTTAGTACAAACAATGTGTCATTCCTGCCACTGTACGCTGTCATAAGTATTTGGTTTAAGATTAAGTCTTACTTTTCATTACAGGGAATCCCAACTCTAGTCAGCAGACAAGACAGAAATTACGAAAACATTTTCAAAGACATAAGAGAAAAAGTGGCTCAGGTAAGGAACAGTAGTGGCAGCGTCTACATCACCTGTAGAGTCATGCCGTTCTTCAATGTCTTTCAACTCATTTTTACTTTTAAATAAAAGCACTGAGATGTGGGTATGTATGTGTGTGTGTTAGGAGCCCCTGACTTCTCTGAGCTCCTCTGCGCTTGTGACAGAGCTGCAGTCTCTCAGTGACGTCTGTGAGGCATTGGCGGCCGTTGAGGTCACTCTGGGCTTCCTGTCCATGACTGGAGAAGATGAAAACATGCCTCTGGAGAAGTACTTGGAGGAGAAATTGCAAATGGGCAGCCACACTGCTCCTCATATCCTGAAGGTCAGTCAGCAGTAGGATGTGGTATATTCATTGTTCAAGAGCATCTATAGGGTTTTTCAAAGCATTCTGATTGACAATATTATCATTGATGTCTGAAAAATAGAGGTTCATTAAAATAAATAAGTCTAAAGGTCTCATTTGGCTCCTTCAAAAATTGTATAATTCAGCCACATGAAAAAACCTCTCTACAGTGAGAAAAAAAAATCATTTGGAACAAATCTTCTGATTGCTTTTGTGCATTCTCAAATTTTCACATTTGTATTTTGTTTTTTTGCAAAAAAATGCACTGATAATGGTTGTTTAGATCCAAATAAGGTCTTATTGAGCACAGAGCAAGGAAATTAACAGGCCCCCTAATACACAAAGATAACACTTTATAATGGCAGGCTCCTATAAACAGAATCTTAATCATTATCAAATAGTTTGCTAACAACAGTTAATTATAGAATTGTTACCTGTGCATTAAGAGCTACAATTTGAATTATTAACCATTAACATTGTGACATACAATTAAAGCAGTGTAAAATGTGCACGTATTATATTTGTGTAATATTTAATAATTTGATTTGTACTTACAAATACATCTATAATAGAAGTCCAGTTAATGACTTAAGTGCCTTAACCTTTAATGTGGGACAAAAACTGCCTTAGCTTTTAATGTGAGACAATGTACAGAAGTTTTATACTTTTGCATCGCTTAACATTAGCATGCAATTAAAAGAGAATTTTTCAAAATGTCTGCATAACTAAATATCAGTGGTGATAAGAACCAGATGTTTAAAGAGTTTAATACCTGGAAAAGCTACAATTACATGAAATGGTTAGAAATACACTGCCTGATACCTGAGACATTGTTTTGCAATAGTTTTTAGTTGAAGTTTTGGTCTAAAATGTATTTTCTGAAATGTATTCAAGGCAGAGATGTACATGTAGAGTGTTACAGGGAAAAGCAGTATTCAAATATTCTTTTTTCCAGATTTACCAGATTTTACTATGTTACCTTTATCAACATGAAATACAAAAACCGTATTGGCTATTATTTTATGTGCTATATTGTGTTTTATTGTGCCGTTATCTAATCCTGCTTGGTGTGTGAAGACTCTGGGCAGATGCTGTCTGAAGCACTGTGTGGCTCTGTGGCAACTGCTTACCTCACTCAAGTCTGAGCATATGCTTCGCCTTAAGAGGGTAATGAATACCTCCATAATACAACAGCAGAACTTCTGAAATACCAGTTAGCTCATACATCAAATAATTTGTGTTCATGCATTCACTTTTATTGTGACCATTCCTGTCTCAGGACCCATTTTCAGGAATCACAGCAGAGTACCAGCATGCACTTGGTGAAGAGGAGAAAAAGCTGCTGACTGGCTTCCTGTCTAAGAGCAGTGTGGATACCTGGCTTCTTGAAATGCACGAGTTCCTGTTGCTGAAACTGAAGAGCCAGCGAGCTTCAGATACCTTCAGACCAGACTGGAGGTGAGAGTGGAAGCTAAATGGAGTAGAGTTTACCTAACATGGCCTTCAACATGATGTTTTAGTTCATGATGCTTGCAATTCTTAACTTTTTCCATTTTTATTTCTTGCTTATCAGTCTTAAAGACACCCTGGTCTCCTACATGGAACGCAAAAATCTAGATGTTCCTCTAGATGTGGAGGAGGCATTCCCAGACCAGATCCAGCTGTCCCAGCTAGTGGAAACTTGGAAGTTCACTGTGACCCACAAACAGCAAAGATAAAGGACCAAAGATAAAGACACAATAATGACATTCCATTTAAGCTCAGCTGTGGTTTTACGCACAGTCCAATTAGGCAAATCTTTTCACATCGTGTGCACTTTAACATGAGATATTTCTTTACAAATTGTTGTTGTTTTCTGTACAGAAAACTGACCTCAGGGAACAGTTTATATTTTGTATTTGTTCCAGAAATTTTCTTTCTCTTTTTATATTTTCTGTGTATTGATTTTATTATGTGTTTGATTTTACTCTTTGCAAAAGGTTTGGAATCTTTTTATTTCAGTGATTCCATAGCCATTGAAATAGCTACTCTGAGAAAAATTGAAGTGCAGGCAGAGAAACTCTATACTTTATATTTGAAGATGCGTTTATACCACTGGATGGAGCTGTGGGCCTTTTCGCTTTTAATGAGCACTGATTCTATTGCCTTTATAAATGTTACCATGTCCATTTAATCTCTGTATTCATGAGTGATTTGCCCAGCTCTTTAATGTTATCTTCATCATTCCAGATCAATAAACCAAAATACAGTTTTTCATATTAATGAAAGATGTGCAAATAAAGTAAATGTGAACTCCTTTCTTCCTTTATAGCAAATCAAGGACTCCTTTAGAATCTGTGTTCCTCAGGGCACCAGAAGAGACAATTGCCTACACATAATGCGGGCCTGTGTGCTGTCTGTTGCCCCTCTGCTCAGGGTCTTGTGTGAGGCAGGATGAGTCACCACATGGCCAAAACAAAAGCTTCACCACAGATGCCCTGTCAGGCCACATTAAGGGGAGGTTTGTCTAGCATGCCTGCATTAGACTGACATCACACACTGATATGTGTTTTTACCTTCCTTTCTGTGTCCAAGGTAACAGTTTATAAAGACATAGGTGGTTTCCTAGACACAGACTGAGAATAAACTGCTTTGTACAACAAAATCATAACACCTCTCCTTTTTATTATGAGCTGATGTTAAAGCGTCACCAGAACTTGTTTTGGACACTCTAGCCTTTAGAGTGTGTCACCTTTCTGTTCTCCATGAATATCACAGCACATTCAGTAAGAATGCTCAATTAGTGAAACACTTAGCTAAACCATTCAGTAACACTTTACTGCAGATAGTGTTCATAAGGCTATGTGACACCTACATGAGTTCATCATAGACTGACGTAAAACCTGCATAAACATTTTTAAAGGCTTAATCCAATAAGCATTATGCAACTTTGATGTCAAGCTGATGTAATACCTACACTATATAGCCAAAAGTATGTGGACACCCTCCTAATTATTGAGTTCAGGTGTTTCACCACACCCATTGCTAACAGGTGTAAGAAAAACACACAGCCATGCAATCTCCATACTCAAACACTGGCAGTAGAATGGGTTGCACTGAAGAGCTCAGTGACTTTAAACATGACACCGTGATAGGGTTCCACTACAGTCAGTTTTGTAAAATAGATTCCTTGCTAGATCTGCCCCGGTCCACTGTAAGTGCCATTTTAGTGAACTGGAAGAGTCTAGGAGCAACAACAGCTCAGCCATGAAGCAGAATATGCAAACTCACAGAGCGGGACCACCGAGAGCTGAAGTGTGTAGCACATAAAAACCTTCTATGCTTTGTTGCATCTCTTACTACAGAGTTCCAAACTGCCATGCAGCTGCTCACAAGCCCAAGATCACTATGCAATGCTGAGCTTCGGCTGGAGTTGTGTAAAGCACACTGCCACTAGACTCTGGAGTGATGAATTATGCTTCACTATCTGGCAGTTTGATGGACAAATCTGGGTTTGATGGATGCAGGAAGCACACTGCCTGCTGGAATGCATAGTGCCAACAGTAAAGTTTGGTGGAGGAGGAATAATGGTATGGGGCTGTTTTTCAGGCCCCTCAGTTCCAGTGAAGGGTAATGTTAATTCTACAGCATACAAAGACATTTTCGGCAATTATTTGCTTCCAACTTTGTGGCAACAGTTTGGAGAAGACCCTTTCCTGTTCCATGACTGTGCCCTCTGCACAAAGCAAGATCAATAAAGGCACGGTTTGATGAGTTTGGTGTGAAGGAACTCTAGTGGTCTGCACATAACCCTGACTTCAACTCCATAATAATGCCTGTGGTTTGTAATGGGATGTCCAGCAAGCTCTTATAGTTGTGATGGCCAGGTGTCTACATACATTTGGTCATATAGTGTAGATGTTATGTCAACTTGACATCAAAGGCATGTTTATGACAAATGATATCTAATGGAATTGTGTTTATAAATGTTTGTATAAGACCAAGTAGCCCTACAGTAAAGTGTTAACAATCATTCTGTGTGTATCACCCTGGTTATGGCATTATAAATGATTTCTCTTGCAATTCTCCATCAACTGTACTAATAACAATGCAATTATTTTCATAACTATAATTATCACGCTATTCATTTGCTTTTAATGTTATTGGCCATCTGTTTAGTCTGCTACCTTGATAACAGATCTCTAACTGGTTAATACTCGCACACTAACATACCACCTGCACCACACACATGTGAGCGTGACAGTAATGGCACCTGTAAACTCAGTTCACAAGGTGAACCAGGACAAAGCTGCCATTTGAGCTCCACTGCTCAAGCAGGCACGAGAATATGAAGCTTCTTAAGCACATCTGGAATAGTAAAATGCGTAGGAGCCAGCAAGGAAGATGGGATCTTTTCAATCATGCAAAATTAGCCCATGCTGCCACTATGTGATTACGCCGCTTGATTGCAATGTTCCCTGTTCATTCTGCCACCTGTGAGTATGTGCGGATGTGAGTCTCCTCTCTGCCTCTATCTGTCATGCGAGAGATGACGATTCCTTTTTAGGGGTCAATAAGGTATTACCAGAACCATCACCATAGCTAACCATAATTTGCCTTTCATCATGCCTAGTTGAACATACAAGCTCAATTTGACAGCTGCTATCATAGAGGATAAAAGAACATGCAAATGAGTGTCATATTCTGTCTGTATGAAAAAGCTTATTATTAACGCTCTTGTACACATAAATATATTTTTAGCAAGGGAAGCAGGAACACTTGCTCTTATTTCTTCGTTAGCAACCAAACCCCCTTGAAAAATAAAAGCAAAGACATTAATTATCATCCACAGATTGCTGCAGCACCTTGTCCTTTCTGGTAATTAAGACCTAGTCCTAAAAATAAACACTACATTACAAATGAATAGGAAAACATTTAATATTCAGTGTCCTCAGGTCTGCAAGTGAATATGTTCACTGTGAGTAAAGGCGCATGGATGTGATTTGAAAAGCTTCATCACCGTCCGTGCTGGTCAGTTTGATATTTTTTCTCAGTCTCTGCAAGATGCTGGTGAGTGATTTTCACTTAAAAGAGCATGCTATTTGAGGTGCACTTATTGCAAGCGCTATAAAAAGGTGTCACATTTGTAGCCTTTTTGATGTACTTTGCAAGCACTATTAAAAGAAGGCAACTTTATTTATATCCTTTTCCTGAATGGCATAGAATCCTCCCCATGCACACCATGACGACCCCAAGCTGATGGATGGTGGCTATTATGCAGCCTAACTCTCAGCTGTGGGTTGAAGGTGATGCTTGAAAACAGCTTAGTAAAGATGAGGAATGGCTCTGTCTGAGTGTGGCACAGAGGCAAGCACATGCTCCATGAAGGTCTTCCCACAATCATAATCAGTTATCATTTGCAGTTATTTAGTGTGATCTGAATCAATACTCAGACTGGCAGATTTCTTACCAAACATAGAGGCATTCCAGCATTCCATTCCTTCATTTATTATTGTTTGTCATGTTATGAAATATTCTGCAGCACAGGATTACAATCCTCAGCCTCATCAGTTTGATACAATTCACAATTTTGTATTTTGTGTTTTCATCTATTACTGAGTGTGCTTACATGCACTTAATAATCCCATAACTGCAGAAAATCTGATTTTGACAGTAATCCGATCAATGTGTTTATATACACTTGAGTAATCAGATAATGCGAAACTCTGGGTCTTCATGAGTCAGGCAGTAATCGGATTTCTGCTTTGCAACGAGCCAATAAACTCACAGAAGAAGATGTGATGTAAACGTAACGTAAAATCAAACTTCATGCCACAGCTTTTTTTAAAACAAAACATTGTGCCACTTTAACTGAAAATATGAACATACATCATCTAGAAGATAGGAAATATTTAAATCGTTCATTTCGTCGAGAATGTGGTTGGTTTCAATGTCGCTCCCAAACTGTTGTGCTGCGTCTCGCGGCAACACAGCTTCTGGTAAAGCAGTCTGTTCCGCACATGCGAAAGAAATCTGAGTAAGAGAACACATGCACTGAGAAATCTGATCACTGAGCGAAAATCCAGCTCTCTTTATTGGATTTCTTAATTGGATTTCTAGATCGAAGTATGGTGTTAACATGACCATTTGAATAAATGGATAACTGAAGAAATCGGATTATTGAGTTAACTCAATGTTCTCTCACTACAGTTCCCAGCATGCAATGCACAAATACTTCATACAGTCATTAGGAACGCTAACTGCTAGTTTAGGCACTGATGTAGAGGCTAATCAATACAGAAATGATATTTGGTCTCTTTCTGCATTAGCTAGATAAAAATAAACCGATACAATTATTTTAAAAAGCTGGCCCTCAATTATCTGCAAATATTTGGTTGTAGTTTGTCAAAAGTTTTTCCCACCATTAAGATGCATCATTGAAAGGGGGGCTTTCCTAGTTTTTAAACCAGAAAATCTCACTTTCGAGACTACTGTTCTCAAAGTGTTTACACCAGATGTAGCTATAGTTACATTTTCAAATTTGCTCAGTGCCCTTTTAAAGCAACAGTTAAACCAAGAGCTAAATGAATACAACTTTCTCAAAACTTGGTTGCTAACACTGAATGACATACTGTTATTCATAAAAATGGACAAAGTATGGACAAGATCCAGGCTTTTAGATGATCGCTTCTACTATTTTTAAGTTATACGCTCCACAGATAACAGCTTGATTTTTAGAGACCGCTTAAGCAAATCTATTTGAGGTTATTAAACAACTAGACGCAGCTTGCAGCCAGTGTCGGACGATACAGGCACGTGTTTTGCACAATGCTAACTGTTCCAATATGTTTC